TGACATTACAGTAATCCAATAACTCCAGAAATCAAATAATGATCAGATTTCCGGTGTGCACGTCCACAGAGTCAGTAGCTGTGTTTACAGTGTTAGAATATAAATGGACCAACATGGATTCAAACACATTCTCGAACTTGAAAGTTGTACAGGCTACTATTGATACTTTGCGGTGACATCACACTGGGAGTGTAATTCATGTATGTTTATGGTGGAAGGTTCAGCACTTACTATGGTGACACAATGTGAACATTAGAAAACAACATATTTTCAGGAGGCTGCGATCATGGTACTGTTGAAGTGTGTGATCTTCAACACACTCAGCATCACACCTCTAGAGAATGTCGATTATACCAGTGGCAGTATCAATTGCACTTGTCTTTGGACACTTCAGATTTCTTATCTACTGTATTTTTCAGACTATAAATTGCTCTGGAGTATAAGTCGCACCAGCCAAAAAATGCGTAATGAAGAAGAAAAACATATATAAGTTGCACCGGACTATAATGCTATGTAAACAACAGAATAGAACAAGTTTAACAAACTCTCCATCTCACTCCAAATCACTAAATCCATTGAATTCTTCATCCTTGGTGTCACTTCTGAGTAACTCCAGACCTCCGGAGGTAAACAAAGCGCCACTTCCTCTTCTGTGTAGCTGTCATCAGACTCAGCATCAGTTCCAGTTAAAATTATTTTAGCCTTTCTGAACGACAGGATGGTTTCGGTGTCACTGAAGTCCAGGCTTTGTCAATCCATCCAGTGACTTTCAGGAAAGTTTCATGGTGCATCCTTCCGGTGTCACAAGTTTCTCACTCACTCCAAATGTTCTTTCTTTTGCTCGATTATCGTTTTCAGCTGCAGATTTTGCTACCTGCAGCTTGTAATCTATAAAATATGATTTTCTTTTGGAGGCATTTGTGTTCAGTCTTCTCAGTGTCTTTATACAGTTGTTTGAATGTTAAATTTTCAGTCGTACAGAAGTAATGGTGCGATTGACTGACATGATAAAGACAGGACAGAGGCTCTTTCTGCAGGAGACATGCGCAGTAGAGTGAAGTGACAGTGGTACAGGAGGAACAGGAGCAGCAGATACTCACACACAAGACTAGAGCCTCTTGCGACTGTCAGTGTGAAAATTTTTATTTATAAGTCGCAACACCACCCAAACCATGAAAAAAGTATGACTTATAGTCTGAAAAATACAGTAGATAAGAAATCTGAAGTGTCCAAAGACAAGTGCAATTGATACTGCCACTGGTATAATCGACATTCTCTAGAGGTGTGATGCTGAGTGTGTTGAAGATCACACACTTCAACAGTACCATGATCGCAGCCTCCTGAAAATATGTTGTTTAAATTAATTGAATTTTTTGGCAGTGTTTCCTAATGTTTGCATTGTGTCACCATAGTAACTGCTGAACATTCCATCATAAACATACATGAATTACAGCCCACATACATGCATATCTTGCGTGTGTGTCAGTCAGTCTCAGGGCAGCTATGGCACCCGAGCTGAAATCTGAGAATGAAATTGTAGAATGAATTACTTCCTCATAAATGACAATGTTTTAAGGTGGAAATAAGAATTGAGTAACTGGTATAATAGTTTCCATTTAGCTTTGAGACGACTGCATCACAATGGATCAGAGCCAGACTCTTGTGTCACTGAAAACTTGGGGGAAGGCTGCCCTTAAGAGCAACGCTACATCATCTGTTAGGATGGAGGAGAAGCCTCAGAATGACAGGGCAGTTTGTCCCTCCTGACTCTCCGTACTCTGCTGGAGTGATGAGCAGTGGTGGCTGATGGGAAATGACTGCTCAGCGTTTATTAATGCGAGCCGAGGCTCACAAACCATCGGTCATCCAGTGAGATACGAGACACTTTGACAAACAACAACATCTACTGCATTCATTTGGGCCTGACCTCGGTGAGGGTCAGTGCAGAGAGCCACTGTGAATCTACAGGAGAGACCAGAGCTGGAGGGAGGTAACACAGAAAAAGCCTATGATGCATTTCAAGGTTCTATATTATACAAAATTGATTCTTGTGAGCCTTAAGACATGTTTTAATGCTGTTATAATGCTGAATTGTGTTTTGTTTAACACCTATAGCTTTTAACTATGCTTTTTACTATACTATCAGTAGAGAGTGGAGATCTGAAATCATGTAAATGATCCTACTGAAGGTGAATGGAGTAGTAGACGATAGTTATTAGGTTCTTTTATCAGACCAAGAGAGAGCAGTCCAAACTGTCAGATATGAAAACAAACTCTTGGTCTGAAAAAAGAACCTAATAACATAAGTTATCGGAAGACAGGGTTAAAAAAAAAAGGATAGGTAGTGATTGGAATTACACATGTCCATAAACCATCATCTGTGGTCAAACACATGGCTCTATTAGACTAGCATCCACACATTGCTGACAGCAGAGGGAGCTCCAACACCTAAATATCTCATCGGAAACTAAGGTGCAGTTTATAAAGTTTTCCAAAGTTCCAAAGTTTTTTCCAAATGCAGGCACAAAATCTAAAACACCAATTCAAGGGTCACCAAACTTTATTCTATGGAGGCCACATTATGGCTCCTGACTGTGATGGGGGCCGGGGTCGAGTAGGCCTTATAACAGAATTGTTTGACCCTGATGACGCAGATTATATTTTTGAAAACCGTCACACTTTCTTTACATACCAGACAAACTGCACGCTCCTTACACTGAACAAAAAATAATGAGTCATCGACTCAACGCTCTCTGTCAAGTTTTCGTACTTTAACACAAGTCATTTCACTGTCTTTAACTGCACCACAGAACTCTGCACATGCTCCACTGTTTAAACTCAAGCTTGTCAGGTGACAAAACATTTGGTGGCAAATTCGGATACAAATGTAAATATGTCATATAATTGTATATAATATACTGTATATACTTTTTTTTTTTTTTTTTTTTTTGAAAAAAATCAACAAAATATAAAATGCAGATGTGTTATTATTTGCCAAAAAGTAATAAAAAAAAGAATAGGCCATGACAACTTTTGAGGATTGCCTCATAGGGCCAGTTCAAGTGGTGGAGGGCAGAGGGGCTGGGGGCTGGTCAAAGGGACTTGGTGGGCTGGAGTCGGCCTGCGGGCCATAGTTTGACCCCTGCACTAATCCAAAGTGTCCAAAACAGGGCAAAGATATTTACAACGAGGAACGTATATTAGTCTAGTATAAAACTATATAAGTTAAAGCCTACAAATCTTAAAATCTTAGTAGAACTCAGGTGTCCTTTATTATTTTGTTGTAGTTATTATAAAAAGTATATTTTTTTAAATTATTTTTGGTCAAGAATTATTATTATAAAAAAAGATCAACAAAAATTATAGTTTATAATTCCTGGAAGTGTATATAAAATCCTTGGTTGTGACCCTGTGGTCTGTATGAGTAAGTCTTGTACATTTAAAGGCATATTTGAGCGTAACGTGAGCGCTGTTGTATTACTGTCTCCCTGCAGTGTGACACAAATCTGATTTCAGGGACATTAGGTTGAACAAAACCAGACCGAACGCCCCTCTGACGCCTTCAACACAGAAACTGAACCAGCGCTTTGTTCTGGAGGACGTCCGAGGAAAACCTGAGTCCCCTAACACCCACACCCCATAATCAGAGTGGGCCGAGGATGTCCGCTTGGTTCAGATATTTTACATTTGATATTAGAACTCAAGTGAAACCGACGCTGGAGGCTGAATTCTTTAAAAGGCCTATTATTACACTATTTTCTGACTATGTTATGTTATTTTCTTATCACAAACAAAACTGGTGATGTGTTTTGATTCATTCACACATGTTTAACACACAAACCCTTCCACTCTGTGATGTCATGTGGTAATACAAGTGCTCCACTGTGTTTTTAAACTCTATACACCTTCACCAGAATCTTTTGGATCTTTCAGCTCTGGAAATACCAATCTCTATTGATCTAAAGTTAAAAGGAACTTGAAAAGTACCTCTTCATGACATCACAAGGTGGAACAGAGCATTTGGAACTTGACAGACTAATAATAAGAGTTCCGCAAACATATGAACGAAACAAAACACAACTCCAGGTCTGTTTTTGAGGAGGTAACAACATTATAACATGACTTAAAGGAAGGGGACTGGAGGAGTGGGACATCAATCTTCGAACCAGGCAAGACAAATATCGGAGCCAGCCCAACAGCGACGGGACCACACCCCACCAATCAGGTGCCAGGTACCACACAGCATATGCAGATATGGAAGGCACAAGCCGTAAAACAAAGCGCGAGCACCAGACGAGGCGGAGCCAGGCTGCGAGCCGTAACAGCTGCTCAGACATAAATCCTTCAAATCGACTCAGACATTTACATCGTTAATCTGGCGTTACATTTGTTTTGCTTCGGGTGTTTTGTGGAGTGGGTAAGACTGTTTTTAGTGGCAGGATAACTATGACCATTGACATGCACTAGTCTAGCACCAGTGACCTCTGCAAATACAAAGACTGGATGGAATATTTCAAAAAAGTGTCTCCACACGTCTCCAACACTCTGGCTCACTAGGAAATGAGGCCCTATGTCCAAAATCCAGACTGTCCCTTTAAATCTCACAAGAGTCCATTATGCATAAAATAAGACCTTTAATATCTCATGACAAAAGCCAAATGTATCTTCTTTCTTGTACTCAGAATATTCCTTCTTTCTGGTCCTCTTGTTTTGGAGAATAGAAAGTCTGGTCCCACACTGACACCTGCTGATCACCTGAGCTCACTGGAGACTCACCTGAGAAGCACACAGTCTAAACCCAGTATTTCACAAAATGCATCGAATCATCTGTACAAAACTGAAACAAAGAAACAAGAATTGCAATCCAGACACAGTGGTTAGTGTAAAGATTACTGTTATTTCTTCAATAGTACAATAGAAAAAATATCAAAACATGCATCTTCATTAATACTGTTATTCTGTATGACATTGAAAAGAAGCATGCATTTAAAATAACCTGCTTTACATGTTCTACACGTCTCTCAGATACATGTGTAAGTATTTGAATTTACAATTGTTGTATAGTAATAGTTGTATATTAGTTATCTCACTATATTAAAGAATAATTCAAGTCCTTGTTTGGATTTCCAAGATGTATTAATTGATTGATAAAAAGGGGAATAGATAAAAAAGGGCCCTTTTTACGCTATTTTTTGGTGTGTTATAACACTTATAATACTTTTCCTCATCACAAACAGAAATGGAGTTGTGTTTTGTTTCTTTCACACATGTTTAACACAAACTCTGCATATTTAGGTAGAGTTCTTCTCTCAAACATAAAACACACCGTTCCACCTTGTCATGTCATGTGGTAACATAAGAAATAAACTCCATACACCTTCACTAGAATCATTTGGATGTTTTCTGTCCTGGATTTGCCACCTCTACTAAACTAAAGGTAAAACTTGCTGTTGTAACTGTTAACTACCACTACATGACATCACAAGGTAGAACAGCAAATCTGGATTTTAGGAGATTTGGACAGACTAATAGTTTACATCAGGGGAGTCAAACTCAAATTCACAGAGGCCAAAATTAAAAACTGCGACTAAGTCATCTGCCAAACTAAATATTTGTTAAAAAATGTGTGCATGTTTTCTTTTTTTTTTGAGATATGTAATGTTAAACCTTTTCTTATTAAGAAAAATGTTTAATAATAGTTTTGCTTAAACACTGAATCCAGAACAAGCATAATATAAAATAATAACACATTTAAAATAAATACTGTCTCTATAGCAGGTGTCTCCATCCTTTTTCCTCCAGTGAGCTACTTTTACAAAGCGAAAATGCCAGAGAGCTACTGGAAATTGAGCATATATAAGAGCCACGCCACACCTTAAATGAAGTACAGTTACATGCCTATAAAACGTAAACCATTATCCTTTCATTAGTGTTATTTCACATTTATGTATTAAGGAAAAGCCCCTTGAGGTGAGTCAGTGCACAAATCAGGCATCAAAATGATATATGTACAAAAGTAAAAGGCATTTAATTAATCAAATGTTACTTATTCAGCACAATACATGTCATTCAGAAATCCCTTGGTGAGCTACTAGGAAGGGGTTGGAGAGTTACCAGTAGCTCCCGAGCGACAGGTTAGAGACCCCTGCTCTATAGTCTATCTGTATCCGGTGAGCCAGCTCTAATACATGTTTGATATGATCTCACGGGCCAAATAGAATTATATCATGGGATAATTTTTGATTTTGACATTTCTGGTTTTCATAAACGTGTGAATGAAACAAAACACAACTCCATGTAGGTTTATGAGGAGCTAACAACAATAAGTCAATTTTGCGTAATATAGGAGCTTTAATTAAATAAATAAATAAATAAAAATACATAAATAAATAAAAATACACACCATTTAAATACTTGAGGGATTAATTAAACATGAATTTCCATTTTAAAAGTTTTAACTTCAATTTGCAACAATAATAAAGGAGTTTGGCTGGTCAAGCTAATGCAAGAAAAAAATATTACAAAGTTTCTCTGCCGGGGACACTGACTTCAGCATTTACAAAATAGAAATACTGACTCTTAATAAATAAATGATGTCACCTTTTTGCATGTTAAGACTGAAATTCAACAATCCACATAAACATATGATAATTACATATAAAAGATGGCAAATATTTAAAGATTATAAGCACTGTAAACATTAAAACTCCCAATGTACACTGTAAGTTGTGTCTGTTGAACAATATGAAAGTAAACAATGTAGAATAATAATAATAATAATAATACAAAAAACCATCGTCTGTTATGCTGCTGTATTGGTTTGCTGTATTTCTCCGACTTCCTGTTGACCTTCAGAGTGGGTGGAGTCTGTGAAGGGGGCGGAGTCAGGTGACAGGGTGGGGTCCAGGTCTTTACTGTTTAAATGAGTTAAGTCTGTTAGAATCGCACACGGGGACTCGGATGAAAGGGTGGGGTCAGGGTTGTGGGCGGAGTCATTTGTGAAAGGGGTGGAGTCTATCACCGCCTTATCCGTTTCAGTGGAGTTAGGTAAAGGGGCGGGGTCAGGATTACCAGAGGACACCTGATTGGCTGGGTCGGATAAAAGGGCGGGGCCGTCTTGATGGACGGACATCGATTTCACCTCTGACTTGTCAATATCCGGATCGTGGCTCGTCTGATTGGTCGGATCTGTCGAATGGGCAGGACCAATTTGATTGACAGGTTCGGACCTTGTTTCCCGTTGCGACTGCTCAATTTCAGAAGCGTCAGGCAAAGGGGAGGGGTCAGAAGAGCCAATCCCCACCTGATTGGTCACATCTGTCAAAGGGGCGGGGCCTGTTTGATTGACAGCCTCGGGCCTCGCTTCCGGTCGATCCCGTGACTGCTCGGTTTCAACTTCGACCCAACCGGAACACCTCCTCCTCGCCTCCGTAGCCACGCCCTGCCTCTCCCGGCGCAGACTCGTATTCGCTGAAGCCCGCCTGCTCCCTCTACTCTGACTGGTTAATGACTTCCTGAGAGCTCTTCCCTGATTGGCTGTTTCTCGGTAGTGCTTCTGAAGCACGAACGCCGCCAGATCCGAATGGGAGGAGGTGCTGTCAATCATCCTGCGACCCAGAGCGAGCGGTCGTACGGGGAGCGCCAACCGTAAACGAAGCCAAAAACGTGACCGTGGCGATTCGGATCTCTTCCCCCTCCACGTTACCATAGCGCTGGCTGCTTTGCGGATTTGGGCGACCTCAACGCAGGGGAGTTTGCTAACAGAACGGTAACCCACGGTAACGATGTTTGCTTTCTGTGCGTGCTCCAGGTACAAGCCCAAGCGACACTCAAATAAACTGAAGCTTTTCTCCGCCAAAAACTCCGGACTGAGGACGAAAAGAAGGCGTCGACTTCTCTGCATCGACCGGAGCACACACTCGGATAAATCTGCATTGGAGATAAAAGATAAAAGCAAAACAATGAATAAATACCAACATTAATAAACATTATATATACTTTTTGCAAGGTACTATATATGCTATAATTATTTGTACTACAGTTGTGGTAGAAGTTGTCCTATAACCCTAAGACTGGTGGTTTGAATCCTGTTTGAGCCTTAGATTACTATTGTGCCATTGGGCCAAACACTTAAAGGTCCGATACTACCCTAAATTCAGCGTTGTGAGTTTTAAGCCATGTTAAAATGTTGTTACCACATTCAAAACAGACCTGGAGTTGTGTTTTGTTTCATTCACGTTTGAGTAATCCTTCATTATTAGTAGTTCTACATAAGAGGTGCCTAAATTTCTTTCCTCCACGAGCCAACATGAATACCTATCAGTGGCCTGAGAGTCAAACCTATTAATAATTTTTATGTATAAATGTGATATTTATCAATAAAATGTCTTTAATTATTGATCTTTTTAGAGGGATAGTTCAATTTCTTGATAGTGATTTCTGCACAAAATTGAACTAAAATAGTCATCTCAGCTGGAGGTCTGCGAGGACAGAATTTTCAGTCCCGCTCCCGCCCACACCCGCATTGTGCAGTCCCACTCTCGCCTGCAAAGAATCGGAATTTTCATTCCCACTTCCACCTGTATCTACGATATTTTACCCTGCTCCTGCCCGCAAATCCTGCAAAATGGGGACGTTCGCTTTCTTATGCTCTATCAAACATGGAGAACTGGAAAGGAATTGTCCAAAATGTGCGCGAGATAAGATTACGTTTGCAAATATAGGCTGCTTTAAATGTTTTTATTAATGCTAAATAAAATATCCAGCACAAGTGATGTATCATAGGCATGCATTAATCATTTGTATATTTAACTTTACACTCATATTTAATTTGTGGGACTGCAGTTCATCATCCCACCCACCTGCCAAAGAGCTTTCAAAATGTGTCCCGCACCTCACTGTTTTGCGTTGGGTTCCATGGGTGCAGGGCTCTAATCTTTGCCTAATCTCTAATCTGGCATTGGGGACCCCTAATCTACACCATCGAGATGAGGAATTCTAGGGCAGAAATGATCCAAATGATTCTAGTGAAGGTGTATGGAGTACAAAAACATACTGGAGCACTGTATTAAAACATGACACCACAAGGTGGAACCGTGTGTTCTGTTTGAGAAGAACTCATCCTAAATATTTCTGTTTTGTGCATTAAATATACAACAAAACACAACTCCAGGTCTGTTTGTGATGAGGAAATATTATAACACAGACTAGAAAACAGTGTAATATTCTCCTTTAATAATTTGTTGTTAATAGCGTTAAGTCTGATCTAAATACTAGCACATCTGTAATAGTAGTACCACTAGTGACTGTAGTAGTAATAGTAACGTAACAATCTATATGTTTACCAGCAGATGTTACCAAAAAAACAATTATGTCTGTTCTGGTGGTTATAAGACAATAGAAGTAAAATTACAATGACTTTAAAGGACAATATTTTACCCTTGTGAGTAATGGAAGGTTGAAATGGTGGCCGTACCTGATGTCATGGATGAGGAGATGACATGGAGCTGAAATGATTTTAAATATGAATTAAACATTTTATTGACAAAGTGTTCAAGTGATTCTCCCAAGTATTTGTGCAGTACAAACATTTAAACATACATAACATTAAAGATCCAATATTACACAAAATAGACTCTTGTGAGCTTTAAGTTGTGTTATAATGTTGTTTTCTCCTCAAAAACAGACTTGGAGTTGTGTTTTGTTTCATTCACGTTTGAGTAATCATTTATTATTAGTCTGTCTACATCTTCAAATCTTAAAATGCTCCGTTCCACCTTGTGATGTCATTAGGCAGTATTTTTCAAGTTGATGGCCACGCTTTACTTTTTGTTTTCACAGAGACTGGCAATTCCACGGTTCCCAAATGATTCGAGTGAAAGTGTATAGAGTTTAAAAACACATTGAAGCACTTCCTATATCACCAGATGACATCACAAGGTGGAAACAGAGCAGAACTCAGCCTAAATATGCAGGGTTTGTGCGTTAAACATTTACATACAACTCCAGGTCTGTTTGTGATGAGGAAACAACATTATAACATAGATAAAAACAAGATCATTTGGACTATTAAAAATACAAAGTAAATTATAACATGAGAACTGGCAGAAATACAAAGTGCCTGAAAACTTTTAGCATTACAGTGATAAAAAGGTCTCATTTGCAGTGTCTGGGACAGTGAATACATCTGAATAAAATACACTGAATAATGTCACAATACTATCTTTATGCATACTGTGAATTAGCTCTGAATTATCATTGGCCACAATATGAAAAGCAAATACTCTTTCCAAAGCTTAAAGTGCAGTGATTTAAAGATAATGATACAGAAATAGCTAGAATACACACATAATTACATACATTTTAGCATACAAACGACACTTAATCCACAAAAGAAGAAACACCCTGGTGAGGACTGTTCACCTGTTATGAATTGTTAAAAATTTAAAGGGACAGTTCAGAATTTTGGACATAGGGCTTCATTTCCTAGTGAGCCAGAGTGTTGGAGACATGTGGAGACACTTTTTAAAATATTCCATCCAGTCCTTGTATTTGCAGAGGTCGCTGGTGCTAGGCTAGTGCATGTCAATGGCCATAGTTTTCCTGCCACTAAAAACAGTCTTATCCACTCCATAAAACTCCCGAAGAAAAACTTTTATTACACCAGACTGTCAATGTGAATTTCTGTGTTGATAGAATAATTTTAGAAGTAAAACCAACCTTGAATTTGAAGGATTTATGTCTGAGCCGCAGCAGTGAGTTATACTTCCTGATAGAAAGCTTGGCAGGAGTGGCCTGACATATGAGAAAATAGTCCCTCTACATGTGAAGATTCATGTGATGCAAGGTTAGTTTAATTCCAAACATTATTCTAACAGAGTCATTTACATGGACAGTCTGGTGTAATAATAGATTTGTTTCAGGTGTTTTGTGGAGTGGGTAAGACTGTTTTTAGTGGCAGGATAACTATGACCATTGACATGCACTAGCCTAGCACCAGTGACCTCTGCAAATACAAGGACTGGATGGAATTTTTTTAAAAGTGTCTCCACACGTCTCCAACACTTTGGCTCACTAGGAAAATGAGGCCCTATGTCCAAAATTCCGAACTGTCCCTTTAAGTATACACTACTGGTCAAAAGTTTTAGAGCACCCCAATTTTTCCAGTTATTTATTGCAATTCAAGTTGTGCAAATCCAATGAAATTGACCTCAGGAAAAAAGAACAAGATGGTAAAGCTTGAAAACATGGAGTGTCCAGCACAGTGTCCAGATTTAAACCCCATCGAGCTGGTTTTGGGATGAACTGGACAGAAGAGTGAAAGCCAAGAAACCTACAAGTGCCACATATTTATAGGAACTTCTGCAAGAGACTTGGGAAGAACTTTCCGAACAATATTTAATTTCTATTGTAGAAAGAACGAGCCACAAGTGTGTTCAGCTGTTATATCTGCCAAAGATGGACACGTTCATGAATTAAAAGTTTAGAATACGTTTTGGTCAACAGTAAAAAAATGGAAAAAGTGTGAAGTTCTAAAACTTTTGACTGGTAGTGTATAAGTATGTCTGAAACCACTTTTAGCTCCTATATTACAACAAATGAGCTTTAAATTGTGTTATAATGTTGTTACCTCATCAAAAACAGACCTGGAGTCGTGTTTTGTTTCATTCACACATATCTGAGTAACTATTTATTATTAGTCTGTACATCTCCAATGCTCAAAATGTTCTGTACCACCTGGTGATGTGATGTAGTGGTACTTTTTACCTTTAGTTCAGTAGAGAGGGGTGAATGTAGAGAAGAACTCAGCTAAAGTATGCAGGGTTTGTGCGTTAAACATGTGAATGAAACAAAACACATCTCCAGGTCTGTTTGTGATGAGGAAACAACATTATAACATAATAGATCAGAAAATAATGTAATATGTGCCCTTTAAAATCTCATTATTAGAGTTTATGGTAAAATTACAACCCAACTTATGTTATGAATTCAGAGATTTTCAAATCTCTCTGCTAACAGGGAGCATAAAATAACACAAATACATTCAGTAACAGCAAATATCCCTTATAAAATGAAAATACCACAGGTTTGTATAAAGTAAAACTGAAAAGGTATAAAAGTGTCTCAAACAGTAGAGCATATTAAAATTGAGGGATTGAGGTGCAAAATGTATACACTGCATGGTCCCAGTCTCGTGTTAGTGTGGGTTATAAAACACACTCAAGTTTACACGTTTAAAGGTCCTATATTACTTGTGAGCTTAACGCCATCTTATAATGCTGTTACCTCAAAAACAGACCTGGAGTTGTGTTTTGTTTCATTCACACATGCTGGAATCATCATTATTCGTCTGTCTACATCTCCAAAATGCTCTGTTCAACCTTGTGATGTCATGAAGTGGTAGTTTTCAAGTTAACAGCTACCGTAAAGATTGGCAATTCCTGGGTGGAAATGATCCAAATGATTCTAGCGAAGGCATACAGAGTTCAAAAACACACCAAAGCACTTCCTGTATTACCACATGACATCACAAGGTGGATCAGACCATTTTGTGTTTAAGACAAAACTGAGCCTAAATGTGCAGGGTTTGTGCGTTAAACATGTGTGAATGGAACGAAACACAACTCGATATGTTTTTGATGAGGAAACATTATAACATAGATCTAAAAATAGCGTAATATGGGCCCTTTAAAAAGTAAATAGTTTTTGATAAAATGGGCTTTGCAGTAGGTAGGATTAAATTTAATGCAAATCTTGTGCAAATGATTAAGAGAAAATTATGGATACCGTCCAACTTGGTAAAAGCTTGGAGGCAAAAAATATTTATGTACATATATATTTTCTGTTGTGTTTAAAAGGTGCACTGTGTAACTCTTCTTGAGGGGGTACGCAACCTGTTTTGTCTCCATGGAGATATTAACACATTGTCCACAGTATGGCATTAAACGGGAGCAACCAGCAGCTCTCCACCCCATTCCACCCCACCTAATGCCTCCGCTCAATTTCATTTCTCTTCAGTGACTAGGTCAGGAATCAGAATACACTAGACGGTTTGCAAGAACCCTGGAAGTTGTAGATCGCGAACCGGCCATACATTCTGTGTTGGCAACGATTCACGAGATCAAGGATTTAAAGCCGGAACAAAGAGAATGTTTGGTGAATTTTATCAAGGGGAAAGACGTTATTGTCCTTCTTCCTACAGAATTTGGGAAAAGCTTAATATACCAGTTAGCCCCGTTAGCGGCGCTTTACATACGTCACAACCAAATAGTAGTGATTGGTTAAATTAAAAAAAGTACCCGCCTACTGTCGAGTGAATAAACTCTATTGCTGCGAGATGAATCAGGCTACTTCCAAGCAGCTCGCCAAGGAATTTCTGAATCATATGTATTGTGCTGAATAAGTTAAGTTAGATTTAATTAAATGCCTATTAAATGTTTGTCTTTGTGCACTAATAAATCGATAATAATTGTGTAAATGTTTTATAGGTATCTATAATAGGAATAAATAAAAATCTAACTGTTCCCGATGTAAGACTCTTATATTTACTCAATTTCTTGTGACCAAAACTAAAATGAGTAGCTCTCTGGTATCTTCGTTTTGTAAAGGAGCTCACCAGAGGAAAAATGTTGGAGACACCTGCATTAAACTAATCTCTCTTGAATTTATTCAATTACAGGTGTCATTTATTGCTCAAAAATATCTAAAAAAAAAAAAAAAAAGTTCAGTCACCTCTCCAGAAATCTAACTTATAATTTGGCTTGCAAGTCTCCATGGAGATTCATAGGTTTATGGTTTATACTGTGGAATATTCAAGGCACATCTCCACCCGAAATGTCACACAGTGCACCTTTAAAGCCCGGTGATAACTCAGTCTTTGGGCTTTTGACTGTCTGAAACATCCATTAGTTATTATTATTATTAGACTCTTCATTACTATATTTAATGATTTGTGGAGATGGTCCATGTCTGAAGATTGAAATTATTGTGAAATCAAGGGACTTTTAAACAGGGTCCACCAATATAAGTACTTGAAATATCTGGCCGGCCAAAGTTTGTTGTTATGGCCAATATCATTCTGAGCATTTTAGCATATACCTTGTTTGAAAAAAAAAGGACTCCCCACAATTCAGTTCTTTGCAGACAAAACAAACACACATACTTGAATGCTTTAAGGAGCTGTACCTGATTTTACCTTAAAATGTGAAAAACAGACCTAGTTCATTTGAAGCACTCCGAAGTTATTCCTCACTTTACTTGAGCTTATACGGTCAGAGCAAAGTTTTACTATCACGGGAATACTAAAAACAACTAGGATGTTAATGGGGAATCAGAATTACTCGTCCTGATTTGCAGACGGTAAAATGTTTTGAATTAGATGCAGACTGCATACAGCAGTCACATTTTGAGCCTAAAGGCCGCCACACATTATGGGATTTTTTGGTCTCAAACTATTATTAAACGTGTGACAAAAAGTGCACAAAACAGACATGAGGAGAATGAGACTTAAAATCTCCGATCTCAAAGACTACAATGGGATATGTCTGTGGACCATAAGCTAAGAGTTGTGAGCGCCATCGTGTCAGCTGTTTCCCGTCTACTGAAAAACGACTCGCTTTAAGACTCTTTAAGTATTGAAAAGATCAGAGCACTGCACTTCTAGTTTAGATACAAGTCAAAACTGAGCTATTATTATTTGTGAAATGTGGAGCAGTACTTCAGATTAGGGATGGGCATTCAATTAAATTTTCTTAATCGATCATCGGGAGAATTAACGATCGATTATAGATTAATCATTAACGTTTTTATATTAAAATGATCATCATTATTATTACTATCTGCACTACTAATCTGCAATGTAAACCGTAACCACTCTAGAGCCACATCAATCCATTTGACATTATAATGTGTTTAATGCAGATTTGTGCAACTCTCACTGAAACAAAACTTAAAACCGCATGGCTAATTTACATAAATTAAGTGAAGAAAAAAAACAGTTCTTGTGTGCTGATGCGGCACGACTCAGTGGAATACAGGTTAGTGTGATCATATTTGCTTTTGTCAAACCCAGGACACCGTACGGGGGGTGGGAGGTGGGGACTCGTCATCGACATTGCGCTTCTCTCACCTGGCAAATATTTTTCCAACTGGACACCGAAACATATGTGCTGCTTTGTACACTGTGCACATGGACTCACACTTGTCCTAACCAGAATGGAAAGCGTGGGATTTCTTGTACAAGTCATCCTTAAGTACGCATTTGCGCTTCGGTACGTTGCAGACTGACCAACTGTGTCTGCTCGCTCCTTCTGAGTGCAGAGAGCTACATGTCCGGACCCCTGTTTGGTCACACTACGCACAACAACCTACATTCGGTTTGTCGATTAAAATGAACGTAATCGATGAAATTCTTAATGATCAATTATCGATTAATCAACTACTCATGCCCATCCCTACTTCAGATACAAGATTTTTAAAGCATAAAAGATTGGAGATAAAGTCCACAGGATAGTAGAGTCACTATCACTAATCTGCAGCTTCACCTCGATCTGTGCACTGTGTGGATGTAAAGACACACGTGAGGAACTACTCTCACCTTTTTACTTTTAAAGAACGCTTCAAACTGGATTAACAGTGCAGTTTTGTGGACTGGATGTCATGGTTTACAGAGGACAATTTCTATAGATAATGTGGATGATATGCTGCAGTTTAAATTTACCACTTTACGAGGGGTGAGGAATAAAGTCTTCTCGTTATTTTCACTATTTCCTGAGTTTGGAAGTTGCTGCCCCTGATGCTCCATTTTTTTGGCCATTACTGTAGTGTTGCTGATGTTTGGTGGTTAAGATCAGACAGAGCAGCTCAGAGTCACACTGACACCACACACAAGGAACACAACAGCTTCAAAATCAAACACAAAGACAACGTTGGGTCACGGGGAGAAGCAAATCACAGCCAAAATCAGGCAATTTCTCCTGTAGTGTGCGGCGGCTTTAAGATCTGCATTCAGGATACATCTGTACTGCGGCAAAACAGAAAATCAGGTACAGCCCCTTTAATGGTCCTATATTAGACATAATTGATTCTTGTGAGATTTAAACCATGTTCGAACATTGTTACCTCCTCAACGTACCCGGAGTTGTGTTATGTGTGAGAAATCCTTTATTATTGTTGTAGTTTTCAAGTTGACAGCTACGTTTTACCTCTATTTCTGTAGAGATTGGAAATTCCAGAGCTGAAATTATCCAAATGATTTCTGTTTAAAAGAGGAGCTCAGCCTAAATATACAGGGTCTGTGTGTTGAATATGTAAAAATGTAAACAAAACACAACTCCAGGTCTGTTTTTGACAAGGAAACAACATTATAACATAGATCAGAAATAGGATAATATGGTCCCTTTAAGTTTGCGCTACTCCATTAGTAAGCTACTCGAGCACCTACTGGCACCATTTCCACTGTTCCATCTTAAATTGGCTGCATATATTAAAAGGCATGTGTGCGTATGTTTTGGTCTTTAAAAAGTCCATATATGTACAGAGTAGAGTTTCAAATAGTGAGTCTTTTCTGAAATGGTACTCTCATGGGTTTCTTTGGCAACATTTTGAAGACTTTTTCTCATTCAAAGATGTCATTAATCACTATAAAACAATCAAAATTTCTCATCAATCTGAAACTCATGAACACTAGAATAGTGGACATCACGCTGCGTAGTTGTACACAGTCTCAGGGCTCTTGGTTGTCTGGGAGATGAGTCCAGTTTGGGAGCTGGTGCTGTTTTGACTGCTCATCCTCATCAGATCTTTCCCGCCCTCCATCCCCACGCTCTTCCTCTGCAAAGGCAACTCCACCCTGAGCCTCTTCCAGAACCGCGACGTGAGATCTTTGGACTTCTCCCCCTGCCAACGGACCAGCGCCAACGCCACCCTGGCCCTCCTCAGCTCCTTCACCCACACCTGTCTCTTTAAGGGCCGGTACTGCACCAGGATGACCCGCAGGTGCCCCCCCAGAGCCATGCCGTCGATGCCTGCCTTGAGCTCCAGCAGCGCCTGGGACCCCTGCGAGGCGTAACCGGGGCTGATGACCACCAGGAGGCGCCGACTGCGTGCAACGAAACCCAGAGTCTCGTCTGTGATGGCTGCGGGAGAGAGGGATGAGTGATGGAGAATGGAGGGTTTAAAGATGGACTGGACTCAAAAACTTGAAAGAATTTACAAAACTAATAATTATTCTTTGTCTCTAAATGCCACAAAGCTGGATTGTGAACATGGTGCATTGTGTAACTTTTTTAGTGGAGTGACGATCAAATGCTTTTCTCCATGGAGATGTTATTGCTTTGTCTGGAATGTTTCACAGTATGTCATTAAACCTTTCTATCTTCATGAAGACCAAACCAGACCAAGTTACAGGTCAGGTCTGTGGAGCGGCGACCCTGCTCACAGTCAGAATGCCTGTTTTTGTTTTTTTGGGGGGGCGGCACAACACCTGTAATTGAATAAATGTAAGGTAGAGCTGTTTAATGTCATACTGTGGAACATCCCAGGCAGAGGGCTGATGTACAATTTGTTCTTTTGAATTTCAATTAAGAACAAAAAGCAATAAAATGGGAAAACAGTTTGTTATTTCATTATTCCGTTTTAGTGTCAAGCAAAAAAACAGATTTCGACCTCTATTTCCAATATTGAATTTAAAGTTTATTTCAAATAACACCACTCATCAAACAGTCTTTGTGCCTATTTTAATCTTGATATTTTATTCTCTTGTTTATTTGCCCCGGATGTTATGCTGCTAGAAGGACTTACCTGAAAAATTGCTGCAATTTTGTGGACAAACATGTTGTCGCGTTTACTTACGTGTCTTAAAAAGTAATTGTTGAACTCCATGACGAGAAGCAAGTAGCAGCGATAAACTTTGCTCAGTTGACACCACAGAACTATAATAAAAATAGTTTTATTATAGATCCATGGTTGAGAAGCAGAACTTCCGGAGCAAATAAATCAGAGAGGATAAAATATCAAAATTAAAATAGTCACTGAGACTTTAAACTTTAAATTAAATATTAGAAATAGAGGTTGAAAACTGTCATTTCATTATTCCGTTTTAGAGTCAAACAAAAAACAGATTTCAACCCCTATTTCCAATATTTAATGTTTATTTCAAATAACACACACAAAAAAAAAAAAAAAAACAAAAAAACCTCTGTGCCTATTTCATTTTTGATATTTTATTCTCTTCTAGCAGCAGAACCTCCAGGGTCAAATAAACCAGAGAGAATAAAATATCAACATTGTAATAGGGACCGAGATTTTTGATTGGTGTTATTTGAAATAAACTTTAAAGTAAATGTTGAAAATAGAGGTCAAAATCAGTTGTTTTTTTTTGTTTGTTTGGTTTTTTTTTTACACTAAAACAGTATAATGAAATAACAAACTGTTTTCCGATTTTATTGCTTTTCATTCTTAACTGAAATTCAAAAGAACAAGTGGTACATGAACCAATGCAATGACATATCCATAGAAACAAGCAGGTGACAGGTGATGCACCCCAAATCACAAAGTTACGCAGTGCACCTTTAAATAGAGAATTGGATAAAAGTTTTGCTGCTAAAATATTAAATAAAGTGTGGTGTTTTGTGTAAAATGTTTTTAAATTGTATTTATGTGCAGTAACAAGCCAATAATTATTGATTTGTAGTTTATTGACTGTTTATTGATAAGATCACTTTATAGGTGGAGATAGGGGGTAGGTGAAAACAGAATGTGGGACAGTGCAGCATTACTCAAACCTGCACAAATCATCTGAAATACGACTGTGGGGAAGTTTATAAGGAAACACTTCTGAAAACATGATTTGAAAGCTTGAGTCAATTTTACTAAGAGCACACTTACTGTCATTCACTCCGCTACTTTACAGTGACGCTGGGAGTGTTCTACATGTATTTTTTTTTATTTTTTTTTACTTTATTAGCAGAATGTTCAGCAGTTACCATGGTGCACACTAGGGCCTGACCGATAGATATTGGTTGGCTGATATTATTGGACAATATGGGCACTTTAAGCATATCAGCTATAGGCCTAAATCTTGCCGATACAGGCCGATAGTCCATGTGAGCATGTTATACCTCGTTATAAAACTTAAGACTCTCTATATTATGTCCATTTAATCCAATTTACAGACAGATAAATGTCCTAATATGTGGTGCCGCATCAGTATTTATCTGTGGAGTAATTTGTCTGTGTGTGACGCCGTACTGCCCCTGAACACACCACCAGAGTCACGTCACTCACGTGCTCTTGTTTACAAGATTCATCTGCACAACACTGAGGCGCTGCTTTAAACGCTCTTGTGTCTGATCCACAAAACTTACTGACTATAAATAAAGTTAACTTCAGTGCAGTTTAGGCGAGCAACAAAACTACTGCTTGTTTTTATCAAACTTATTTGTGAAGACTTGTGATCTGAGAGGAGCCTGTGTGAGCGGTGAGTGTTGAAAATGTGTCGGTTTTGAAGCTACTTTTGGTTCTTTCTCATTGTTTAGCTCTTTGCTGCTGTAGCTCCCACAAATAAATGTTTTTTTTTTCTCTTACATTGGCCTAGCATTGATATGTAAATGAGCTGTGAATAGAGGTGTGAATGATCGGTATTTAAGCATATATTTAATTACCACCGCACACACGCATTTACTGCTAGAGGCTGATAGCGGCAGTTTACTTTGTTTACTGGCTAGAATGTGATGCAAAAATGCCATTAGGCCAACCTAATGTCTGTAAATATGACATAAAGAGGCAAAATAACAATAAATGTTGCCTAAACAAAACCAATTTAAAATCCACTAGAGCCAGACCTAAGTTTTATAATCAACTGAAGTTTTACAGTGACTAAATCTATCAGCTTTTATATCAGCTATCGGCACCACAAAAAAATCCATAACGGTCGGGTCCTAGTGCACACATTAGTAAACACTGCCAAAAAAGTTTTTAAATTGTTAAAAAAAAGACAAACTGGATTTAAACAGAACATTTTCAGGCGTGTGTGATCATTACAAGTGTTTACAGTTCTTTTCAGGTTTTTGATTTTCAACAAAAACTTGAGTGTGACTAACTGAAAAACTGACTGTAATTTTACGTGTTGCAATTCTAACAAAATCAGCTGTTAGTAGTAAAGTATCAATATTTTAACCTTTAAAAACACCCCAACCACAAGCTTAGGTTAAAAAAGGTTAAGGATGAATTTCCCATAAATGCAGTATATTTAAAGCATATTCTGAGAAGTGGACATGTGTCTGTAACTACATTGGCCAAGAGCCACATTCTCTGTAAGACACTTTCATTTCTCTACTTAAAATAGCTGCAGAATTACACCAGTCCATCTTTATTTAACCTAAATGACTCCAATGGAAGGATGGATGAAGAGAAAGCACAGAGGAAGCACTGAAGTCTTATAATGGCGAATGCTCTTACTCTAATCTTACTTACGCTGGGGTCTTCTGGGGTGACCACCTCTGACGGTGAAAGAAGAAGGACGTGTTTTTGAATGTGGCGGGACATGGAGGCACACACTTAGGTAAATTTAATAATCATAGAAAACAATTACAATATATTTTTAGTTTGGGATGGCAGCCCTGAAAGCCAGTCCACCCAAAAGTCCTCACTACCTTAAAAAAATCATGACCACGTTATGTCATTTATCTGGAATGTTTCTCCAAGTAGACTATCGATCTTACTTTTTAATATTCATGTTGCATTTTTTCTAACATGTATCTCAGTTTTTAGTGTTGTAATTGTCTTGTATCAGTGTCATCCCACTCCTTTGCTCTGTGTTGTATGTTAAAAGTCCAAGTGCTGTAAATGAGCTCTAAGTACAAGCATGTTAGAATGTTATCTCCTCCTCAAAAACATATCTGGAGTTATGTTAAGGTTTGTTTCATTCACATGTTTGAGTAATCCTTTATTATTAGTTCAGACTGCAGGGCTTAATGCTCAATTCCGATTTTTTTTCTAGGTCGTTCACATTTCCAATTAAATGCGACTTGTATGTGATCTCCAGGGTAAACTTTAACACTCCAAAAGTGTCCCACATGAGCATTGGAGGACATGATGACGTCACGCACAGCGAGCGTGCTCAGTGTTTACGGAAGCCGCCTAAACGCTGGGCTTGTCTCCCAAAATATGGTCCAGTTCTTGGTAAAAATGGACAGGTTACACGTCCACCGCCGCTTCGTTCGTTTTAGGCACCATCCACACTAGTATGTATTTGAGTCGTTTTCGCTGCTGATGCAGTGTTGGTCCACATTAATCCAATTGAAAACAGCTCCAGAAAGATCTGGTGCCACCAGCTCCCACAAATTCATCTGAGTACAGATCTGATCCGGCACTGTGTGAACGCCTGAAAACGCTGATACACTGCTGTAGGTCTACTCATATTCAACACTCATATTCCACTGAGCCGTGTCCTTTAGTCTAAAAGAAACTGAACCGCATCAGCGCACAATAGCGAGCTGTTTTCTGAGTGCTCAGTTTACGCAAATTAGCCTTGTGGTTTTAAGTTTAGTTTCTGTAAAACGCAAACAAATGTGCTCAAAGCTGTGTGGATAGAGAAGGTTTGCGGACACAGAAACAACATGTCTGGATGCAAATTGTTTCCGATACAGTGATACGGTGATTCAGTGTAAACGTAGTCTGAGTCTTTAGCCTTAGATTTGGCTCGCAGGCTCTTTATTTTTCAATGACATTAGAGCCAGGAGTGCCTGTCGGCGCACTCAGACATTTCTTTGGCAATCATTTAAAAAATTTGTCTTATTCGAAACCAACTCCAATTTGGCCTGAATACAGTGATCCCTCCAAATATGAATGAACGCGCTAACCTCGCTTTCCCTCAATTGACTAGACTCTGAGCCTGACGTGTAGGTGGGATGAATGTGACCTGACCATTCAGACTGAAGTCGCATGTCAAAAGATCGGATATGTATCAGTTTTAGGAGCTCATATCCAAGTAGCCTGGGTCACATTTGAAAAAATCTGATCTGTGTTGTTCAGACTGTCATTAAAAGATCAGGGGCGAAAAAAATCGGATTTGGGCCACTTCAAGCTGCAGTCTGAACGTAGCCTTATTTCACTAGAGATTGACAATTCCAGGGCTGAAATTATCCAAATGATTCTAGTGAATAGCATGGAGTTTAAGCAAGACAGAGCACTTCCTGTATTATATATACCACATGACATTAAAAAGTGGAACAGTGTTTTCAGTTTGGGAAAAGAACTCATCCCAAATATGCAGGATTTTTGCGTTAATATGTGTGAATGAAACGAAACAGAACTCCAGGTCTGTTTGTGATGAGGAAATTCTAACAGATCAGAAATCAAATCAAAAATTCAAATCACATCCTTCCACAGTACTGTATACGTGAATATGAATGTGTGAATGATTTAAGCCAGTGTGGTTTTATGGGTGTTTCAGTTGGACAGTAGATGCACTCACTTCCTCCTGGTAAACTGTCCCGGTCAAATATGCACACGGAGTAGCCCAGGTCATTCTCCAGCACGGTTCTGAGCGTGGACAAAACAAACTGCTCTTCTTCACTGTTTCGGGCGTACGAGATGTACACGTCAAACTCCTTATCATCTGTGAACAGGAAAAGACAAGGTGAAAAGAAATATCAGAAACGATCATCTTTACAGGAAGCTGCGCACTATCGAGTGGAAACATCGCTGACTAGTCTTACAGGGAATTGATCTTATCCAGCGAGACAAAAATAAAATAAATTGGTTGGTTATCGTCACTTGTGCACTGTGCAACTTTTCTGCCTAACAGTTCCCATAGAGATGTTATTGCTTTGCGTGGAATGTTCCATAAATATTTCCATCTAGCATTTATTCACTACGGGTGTTCCTGGTCGAAACCAGGTCGAAACCAGGACTAAACTAGGACTAAACCAGGAGTAAACCAGGACTAAACCAGGTCTAAACCAGGACTAAACTAGGACTAAACCAGGAGTAAACCAGGACTAAACCAGGTCTAAACCAGAACTAAACTAGGACTAAACCAGGAGTAAACCAGGACTAAACCAGGTCTAAACCAGAACTAAACTAGGACTAAACCAGGAGTAAACCAGGACTAAACCAGGTCTAAACCAGGACTAAACTAGGACTAAACCAGGAGTAAACCAGGACTAAACCAGGTCTAAACCAGGACTAAACCAGGTCTAAACCAGGACTAAACCAGGTCTAAACCAGGTCTAAACCAGGTATAAAACTGGTCGAAAACAGGTCTAAAACAGGTCTAAACCAAGACGAAACCAGGACTAAACCAGGTTTAAAACCAGGTCTAAACCAGGTCTAAACCAGGTCTAAACCAAGATGAAACCAGGTGTAAACCAGGACGAAACCAGGACTAAACCAGGACTAAACCAATTCTAAACCAATACTAAATCAGGTCTAAACCCGATCTAAACCCAGTCTAAAACAGGTCTAAAACAGGTCTAAACCAGGTCTAAACCAGGTCTAAAACCAGGTCTAAAACAGGACTAAACCAGGTCTAAACCAAGACGAAACCAGGTCTAAACCAGGATGAAACCAATTCGAAACGAGGACTAAACCAATTCTAAACCCAGTCTAAACCCAGTCTAAAACAGGTCGAAACCAGGTCAAAACCAGGACTAAACCAGGATTAAACTAGGACTAAACCTGATCTAAAACAGGTCTAAACCAGGACTAAACCAGGACGAAACCAGGACGAAACCAGGACTAAACCAGGATGAAACCAGGACTAAATCAATTCGAAACCAGGACTAAACCATTGCTGTAACCTACCTGTCTCCCTTATGATTGATAGGTTTAATCTATATTCTGGAACATTCTAGACAAAGTAATAACATTTCCATGGAGACGAACACAACAAAGTCTACTTTTTTGTCTGTGTTACTGTGCTTTTTTATTTTTCATTTATTTTATCTATTTATTTTTTCTCCCCTAAATTATTATTATGTTATTGTTAGGTCCACTGTCTTGTTTACTGTCTGTTTAAAGGTGCACTATATGACTTTTCTGTAGGGATCTGCCACTTGCTTGTCTCTGTAGAAATGTTATTGATTTGATTAGAATGTTCCACTGTAGGGCATTAAACATATCTAACTTGATTTTATCCGATTATGGGAGTTTTTATTGCTCAAAAATGGCTTAACAATATGCATTTTTATTGTGGGAGGGATACATACTGTAAGTTTCATACTGTGGAACATTCTAGGCTAAGCAGTAACATCACAGAGCTTCCTCACCTGCTTGTTTTTATGGAGATGTCATTGCTCTGCCTGGAATGTTCCACAGTATGACATTAAACAGCTCTACCTTACATTTATTCAATTACAGGTGGTTTTATAGCTCAAAAATACCTAGAAAAACAGACATTCTGACTGTGAGCGGGGTTGCCTCTCCAGAGATCTGACCTGTAACTCGGTCTGGTTTGGTTTCCATGAAGATAGAAAGGTTTAATGCCATACTGTGAAACATTCCAGATGAAGCAGTAACATCTCCACAGAGAAGAGCATTTAACAGACAGATCCTCCAACAGAAAAGTTACACCTTTTACATGAAAAAAAACAACAACAGAAAAATTAAATGGCTGCCCTCACCTGTGTGTCTTTCGTCTGTACCGAACCAGGACCTGTAGATCAGCAGCAGCTCCAGCCAGAACACATGATAAACGACGAAGAGGATTAGCATGAGGAAGAGTGTGACCCCCAGACCACAGCCTAGCTCCAGAGACGGCAGGGGGGCTGAAAGTACACAGTACATGAGAAATACTAACATGGGTACACATAAAACAACAACTGTTTAACAATATGAATAGTACTAAGCTTAAAGCTGCATTGTCAAACTTTTCTGGTGGAGTGTCAGTCACCTGTTTGTTTCTATGGTTATGTCATTTCTCTGCCTGGAATGTTCCACAGTATGACATTAACCTTACATTTATTAAATTATAGTTACTTTTACTGCTCAAAATTACACAGAAAAACTTGCATTCTGACTTTGATGGGGTTGCCTCTCCACGGATCTGACCTGTAACTTGGTCTGGTTTGGTCTCCAGGAAGATCTAATAATGCCATACTGTGAAACATTCTAGACAAAGCAATAACATCTTCATGAAGAAAAGCATTTGACAACGCCTCCACCAGAAAAGTTGACATGGTGCAATGACCATAAACTATCTAGACGTGTTTTTAATGTAAATATTTATTAGAATGTGTATCTGTACTAATGAAGATTGTACTGTATATGTGGAAAGTGTGTGTATTTCTAATGGTGGTCACTGGAGCGTTATAGAGTGTTATACTAGACCATGGTGTACATGGACGCACCTCCAGGCACGCCCCAAAAGTGAGTCCTGGTTCAGTCCTGGTTTAGTCCTCCTGGTTCAGTCCTCCTGGTTCAGTCCTCCTGGTTCAGTCCTCCTGGTTTCGTCCTCCTGGTTCCGTCCTCCTGGTTCCGTCCTCCTGGTTCCGTCCTCCTGGTTCCGTCCTCCTGGTTTCGTCCTCCTGGTTTCGTCCTCCTGGTTTCGTCCTCCTGGTTTAGTCCTCCTGGTTTAGTCCTCCTGGTTTCGTCCTGGTTTCCTGGTTTAGTCCTCCTGATTCAGTCGTGGATTCAGTCCTAGGATAGTCCTGGGTTTGTCCTAGGTTAATCCTGGTTTAGTCCTGGTTTAGTCCTCCTGATTCAGTCGTGGATTCAGTCCTAGGATAGTCCTGGGTTTGTCCTAGGTTAATCCTGGTTTAGTCCTGGTTTAGTCCTGGTTCAGTGCGTAGTGTGTGCAGCGCAAAATCCGGTATCAATGTTTCTTCTGTTCAGTAAATAAAGCCTTGAAGTGATGACAGTCGAGTCGCATCTGTGAATTCATATTCGTACTGAAAAAGGTGTAATCGTTTCATTTTTTTTCATAATTGTAATTCTTGAAGTCGCAACTTTTCAATTCGTAATCTTCAGTTAGAATGCTTTTAAGTTGTGTGTGATTTATCATGGGCACGGGCGGGTAACAGGTGGAATGTTAACAGGTCCGAGCGGATGCTGGTTTAATTTTGATGAAATCACGAGTTTACAGGCGGGTGCGGTGCTGTACTGCGCGGGTCTCCAAAAATGGACCTGAGCAGTACTCTGGTCTGGAATACTCTGGCACACACTCCACCACAGTAGGTGGCGCCATAAAACATAAAACAATGAAGAAGAAGTACATACTCTCGAGTTTGATGAGAGCGCGTCGAGTCCGGTGGCCGAGGGCGTTCTTCACAGAGCAGTTAAACTCGTGGTTCAGATCCTCCGGCTGGAAGTCGTCAATGACCAAGATACTCTGCTCCGTGCGGTCCCCATAGTCCAGCTTCAGCTGACTACACAAATCACACAAACTGTTTCAAAACGTGTACGTGAAAAAATGAAAGGAATACAGAATGTGTAACGTAGGGCTGCAACTAACAATTATTATTATTATTATTTTTTTATTTTTTTTATTTTTATAGCATTTCCGGCAAGGCAATGACATATCCATAGAAACAAGCACATGATCAACCCCCAATTAAAAGGTTCCATAGTTCCATACCTGGCTGTTTTAGTGAACCTTGGGTCATTGAGCTGCTCCACTGTTTTTCCATCGATGCTCCACCACATTTCCCAGGGAGAGTTCAGATATGGAAACAGAGCCGTACACACCAGACTGGCCTCTTCACCTGAGGAACAAACATTTCATAACCAGAATTACATTAATATTCTCTTTCACATTTGATACACACCCTCTCATGTTTTTTCCCCTTTACTTCTCCCTTTACTACTTTCTACATATGACATACAAACAGAGGATATCAAATATATTAAGTAAGATATATGGCATTATGTAGAAAATTTAAATTTTCACACTTTGTTCAGAAATGTTTAGATGACTTTTTTCTTTACTACATAATTCGATATATCTTTCTTCATATATTTGATGCCTTCCATATGTATCTAAAATGTAGAAAGTAGTAAAAAACTAATTGGGGAATTTTTTAAGTGGGGGTATGAGATTTGTGACATCATCGATGTGATGAATCCCGCCCGCCTTACATCCACCTCCACCCCAAAAGCCATAACTTGACATGCTGATATACACACAGGTGTCACATAGATTGCTTATTTAAAAAAAAAAAAATCACTTCCAGTACAAACATAAAGGTGCCAGCCCAGCGACCTCAAAATGATGCAGAATTGTGTTATTAACATTAACGCCATTCATAAACACTTACAGAACATATATCATAGGCTACAACACAATATGCCCAGGACTGAACAAGGAGGTCTACATCAGCACTAAACTAGGTCTAAACCAGGACTAATCTTGGACTTGAGAGTGAGAGAGAGAACAGGAGCAAGGTGTCTGCAAAGTCCGAACAGGTGACGGCTGCGCTTTAGCCCCTTTCGCCTGTGGTCACCTGACGGTCTAAGCTGGTGGACCTCCGGGTCAGTTCTAGTTCAGTACTAATTCAGTACTGGTTTAGTCCTGGTTCAGTCCTTATTTAGTCCTGGTCCCTCATGTCTCAGGTCTCTATAGGACAGTAGTGCAGATATCATGAGCCGATGCAGGTTGTTTTCATCATTGCCAGTAGTTCCAGTTTGACATTTAAGTTGTCAGCTATTTTATATATCTTACTTTTTATATCTCACTGCGGGAGAAGTGGGTGGATGGCATGCCCCCGTGTACCACACCCACTGCACCCCTGGTAGTGTATGTAATGAAATGGCTTGTACATGATTTTGAACCAAGCGTGAGAAACATGTTTGAGTGTATAGCTCCACCCATTTTGTCCTTTCTATCATTTTGATATTACATAACACAGAAACAACTGTCTGGGATCAATTCATGAAACAACTGACCCTGCCAATAGCTTCTTTATTAGATAGTACTCAAAATGTAACAAGATCCAAATCCCTCGATACAATATTTTCATGATACGCATCTCACAGTACGATATTTATTTTGAGGAGGCTGACAAAACTGTGAAAATGCTTCTTTTCTGTCATAATTCAAATAATTAAGATTCACAAAAGTGTTTAATAACAGTTATTTCATCATGTAGAGTGAAACACAGCAAAGCATCATGGTATATGTAGTTCTCTCTGTTTTTAGCTGTTGCTGTGCCATAATAAAGAATTTAAGCAAATAAACTTGATGAACCACGGTATTATTGAGAGACTTTTGACGCTATGATATCACAATATTTCAGTTAGTGTTACATCCTTAGATAGTGCCAACAAAACACTGTGTAAAACTCTCTTTCTCGCTTTAAAAAAATATCTTTCTGTCTCATTTTTCTTTCTTTACAATACACTGTATTATATAAAGACCATTTATCTCACCTGGGAGAAATTAAAAAGCGCACAAGACAATAGGCTAAATCAACGAGTGTTATGATTTTGTTCAATACATGAAAGCTGAAAACATTTTATTAAGGGTTAATATTTCTTGTTTGTACATTCTCGTGGCACTACTGGGACATTTTTGGTTATTTTTTAGGCTATACGATAAGATTTAAATTGTATGAGGTTGAATTAATAACTTATAATATTCAACATCTAGAAAAGTTTTTGTGGATTACCATCAATGTTTACTTCAGGAATACATTGAGCTTCTAAATTTGTTATAACCAGGTAGTTAGTCCCGACCAAGACTAGCTCAAGATCTGGAGATGTGTTTCATTGCTCTTGTCCAAAATGCAGAGAAGCACTGTCTCCACTGTGACAGTAAAGTGTACCTTAAACCTTTATGTATTGGTAAACTAGACTGCAATAGAGAATACTGACGGTGTACTTTGTCATCTGAATCAGGTTTAGATGTATGGCTCTGTTGCTTGTGTTTTGCGCTTGTATCTTTGGCCCGAGCTGTGCGTCTTCATTTGATTTGTGGCAGCTTCATTCTGAATAAAAGCAAATGAATCATATTTGGGTCTTAAATCGGTGCTGATAAAACCTGCTGTCGGGGCTAAAGCTAAGAGTATGGGCTGGGACAGTGTCAGGGCCATTCATCACACAGTCACAGGCCGTAAACTCAGGTCTGGTACCAGGGTTTTATGAGCGCTGGGTGGGAAAATCCACTAATGCAGAGCGCGCGATTAACTTAGGAAATGTTCAGTCTCCATGCAAGGTGCTCTTACAGAAAACCAATTTAGATTCAAGAATGAGACACTCCTGGAGCAGGAGAGGAAGAGGAGATGGAGAGGCGCTAAAGAGGAGCTGGAGACATTTGTCACAGTGAGGGACAGGAGGACAAACTGCTCTCCATCGTGGACACTGCTGCTCACCTACTGCACCAGAATATAGAGGGACAGAGGAGCTCATTCTCCAACAGGCTCCTACACCTCCACTCAAACACTGAGAGATACAGGACTACAGTCATACTAGTGCCCAACCGATATATCTGCCAATATGGGCACTTTAAGACATATCAGCCTAAATCTTGCTGATATGGGCCGATAGTCCACGTGAGCATGTTATACCTCGTTATAAAGCTTAGACTCTCTATATTATGTCAATTTAATCCAGACAGATAAATGTCCTAATATGTGGCACCACATAGACATTTATCTGCTGAGTAATTTTTCTGTGTCTGCAACGCCATACTGCCCCTGAACACACCCCCAGAGTCACGTCACTCACTCTTGTGTCTGATCCACGATACGGACTATAACTAAAATTGAACTTCAGTGCAGTTTAGGCGAGCAACAAAACTACTGCTTGTTTTTACTCAAACTTATTTGTGAAGACTTGCGATCTGAGAAGAGCCTGTGTGAGTGGTGAGTGTTGAAAATTTGTCAGTTTTGAAGCTACTTTTGGTTCTTTCTCATTGGTTAGCGCTGTAGCTCCCACACATAAACAGCCTGTTTTCTTACATTGGCCACTGTAAAGTGACTACAGTGATTGTACACACATTACTGGACCAGCATTGATATGTAAATGAGCTGTGAATAGAGGTGTGAATGATTTGCATTTACACATATAATTAATTACCGCAGTATGCAAACATTTACTGCTAAAGGCTAATAGCGGTAGTTTACTTACTTTGTTTACTGGCTAGAATGTAATGCAAAAATGCGATTAGGCCGACCTACTGTCTTTAAATATGACATAAAGAGGCAAAATAACAATAAATGTGGCCTAAACAAACCCAATTTAAAATCCAGTAGAGCCAAACCTAAGTTTTATAATCAACTGAAGATTCAAAGTGATTTTTTACATCACTCAATATATCAGCTTTTATATCAGCACCTCCAACTCCTGTTTTATCATATCGATCTGACCCTAATTCATATCATACTGCATACAACTGTACAACAACTCACCCTTATGTCACAGATAATACTCCCTACAACTGTACAACAACTCACCCTTATGTCACAGATAATACTCCCTACAACTGTACAACAACTCACCCTTATGTACACACACAACTCACCCTTATGTGACAGATAATACTCCCTACAACTGTAACAACAACTCACCCTTATGTGAACAGATAATACTCCCTACAACTGTACAACAACTCACCCTTATGGAACAGATAATACTCCCTACAACTGTACAACAACTCACCCTTATGTGACAGATAATACTCCCTACAACTGTACAACAACTCACCCTTATGTAACAGATAATACTCCCTACAACTGTACAACAACTCACCCTTATGTAACAGATAACGCTACGTCCTGTCAATCATAATATCATCTTTGCACTCTTTCTCCTCTTGTATAGTGGAGATATATTTGTATTTTCTTCTCCTCCCTGCAGAGAACTTCACTTTCACCATAGATGGCCACACAGTCACCCCCTCAGCTCAGATCAGAAACCTTGGATTGACCTTCGACCTCCCCCTCTCCTTCAGACCACACATGGATCCCCCCCAAATTTGCACAAAGCTGCATTAAACACATTATTACTTAAAGTATTTTTGAGTTCTCCTCGCAGAAAAAAAAACAAAAAAAACAAAGTTAAATGATCTACCCACATTCACATTCATAATACACATTCACCAAGACAGGGAGGCAACACTCTGCCAATAGTTCGTGGATGCCTGGGCTGAAGTATTAGTCTCAAGTGTAATCTGTTTGTTTCATGTAATGCTCCTTATAATCCGGTACGCCTTATGTATGAAAATAGACGAGAGAATTCAACATTACTGATATTGTGCCTTATAATCTGGAGAGCCTTATAGTCCAAAAAGTACAGCACTTTATTTATATACCGCATTTCATAAACAAAACAGTTTCCAAAGCACTGCACTATACAAATAAAACAATAGAATGAGGATATAAAATAAAGCTCTAGTTAGCTCCACTAGTCCTTTTTAAGACAATAAAACTAGTCAAATCAAATAAGAGGAAAAAATTCTAATAAATAAAAAGGTAAAAAACATAAAAATGCAACACTTCATCAAGTCTGAGCTGGATTTGTGGCCAACACTGTAATCTATTTGGAGGATTGAAATTGCACTAAAGAGATCTATGTAATCTTATCACTGGATCATGCTTCAGTTAAGTGGAAAAAGGAGAAGCAGGGCAGTAGACCGGGGGGTTTGCCCTGGCCCAGAATTGGACCCGCTTCCTATTACTTTATATTTAAGATGGGCCCATGTGAGTCTTCTTGCCCCATATTTCTGTAGACGGGCCTGAGGAGAGGTATTTGTGTATATGTGCAGACAGTTACAAAAAGGAACCTACCTTGTTTAACGTTGAATACATAATCTTTGGTCGGCTGCAAAATGGTTGGTTCTTTAGATCCCACTGAGTCTCAAACACACAAAGAAAAACATCAAAGCACCAGTTTAACACCACTGTTAGGAGTTCAATTCAGCATACTTTTGACTAATTTAGATGGTACCATTTTGGTGTAATCTAATTTAGATGGTACTAAACCTATTTAGTAGGGATGTAACGATATCCAAGTCTCACGATACGATATTGTCACGGTATGAACCTCACGGTACGATATTTATTGCGATATTCTGGGAAAGCTCACGATATGGAAGGGAGGCTCAAGATTAGGAATGTAACAATATCCAAATCTCTATGATAATTTCACGATATACATCTCACGATACGATATTTATTGCGATATTTTGTGGAGACTAACAAAACTGTGAATATGCTACTTTTTCCTCTTAAAATGTCTTGACAAGACTTAATCCAAAAAACTTAAAAGTCCATAGAACTGTTTCTTCTTGTAGTCTGCACTGAAATGGAGCAAAGGATCATGGTCTATGTAGTTCCCTCTGTCTTTTTTTCCAATTTCTGCACCATAACTCTTCATTTAAGCAAAGAGACTTGTAATTCGATATATTGTGATGGTCCAAGATATTATTGTGCGAACTTTGACGATATGATATCACAATATTTCTGTTATTGTTACATCCCTACTATTTAGACTTAAAGGTGCACTGCGCAACTTTCCTGGTGGAGAGTCTCCCATTTTCTTGTCTTCATGGAGATGTTATTGCTGACCCTAGAATGTTCCATGGCATGACTTTAAACATATCCATCTAGCATTTATTCATTAGGATGTTTCTGTTGCGCAAAAATACAAAAATTCCTTCTGTGATTAGGGGTGACTCTCCATAGATCTGACTTGTAATGTAACATAGTGCTGCCTCTCTTGTGATAGATATACTGTACATTCTCCATTTAAACTTTACAGACATCCTGAGTTGAAACTATTCCTGTGCGAATAGGACTTAAGTCTCTCCAGGCTGAAATAATATCAGACTTGGATAAACTACTGATCCATGAGGGGAAATGATTTGATGTGATGTTGTGTTGAAGCACTTACTGACTGCGGTGACGTTGATGACTCTGGTGAAGGTGAGCGCTCGTCCTTTGCGCTGGTACTGAACAGAGCAGAAGTACAGGCCCTGGAAAAACTCCATCATGATGTGCACCTGCAGCGACAGGCCCTTCACCTGTCGTTCAGGGGCTCGGATTGGGAACTGCAGGCATTTCTGTCAAGTGGAAAAAACAGGAAAAACATATTTTAGAAATTGCTAGATTAGATAACTGGAGAAGGAGAAGGTCACACTTCTTCATACTTTTTATCACGGTAATATTTTGCTGTATTCCATCTTTTGAATGGGGGAAAGTCCTCACACATAACAGGAAGTTGAAACCCATGGATAAGTTATACAAGGTCAGTTAAAGAACCAACACTGGTCTTTAGTACCATATTTTTCGGACTATAAGTTGCACTCTTTTCATGGTTTGGGTGCTTCCTGCGACTTATATATTAAAATCTTCACACTAACAGCCGTGAGAGACTCTAGTCTTGTGTGTCAGTATCTGCTGCTCCTGTTACTTCTGTGCCACTGTCATTTCACTCTACTGCATATGTCTCCTGCATGTGTCCTGCTGCAAGGAGTGAAATATGCAGTCGAAAAACGGTAATCGAGCAGCAGAAAAAAGTTTGGAGTGAGCGAGAAACTTGTGAGAGACTGGCAGAAAGCGGGGATGGAGAACACAGCTTCACAGCAAACGAGAGGGTGCACCAGGCAACTTTCCTGGAAGTCACTGGATGGATGGACAAAGCCTGAGCTTCAGTGACAACTGAAAACATTCTGTTGGGATTCAGAAAGGCCAGAATAATTCTAACCGAACCTAATGCTGAGTTTGATGACGGAAGAGGAAGCGGTGCTCTGTTTACCCCCGGAGGTCGTGGAGTTGTTCAGAAGTGACACCATGGATGAAGAATTGAATGGATGATTTGGAGTGAGATGGAGAGTTTGGTAAACTTGTTCTGTTCTGTTGTTTATGTTATAATTATCTGAAGAACTGTTCATATGTGATGTTAACAGTCTGTTGATCTCTGTTCTGTTGTTATTACTAGAACTTGACTTTTAACATGAAATGTTGGTTCCTGGTCTCTGATTTTATAAAATAAATTCACCCCAAAAAATTTGACTTATACATTTTTTTCTTCTTTATTATGCATTTTTTTGGTTGGTGTGACTAGTAGAGGTACATATTGATACTGTGTGTATGGGCCTGTGTATGTGTGCTATACAAACACACACACATAAACAGGCACACGCACACCATGTGTATATGGGCCTGGGTATGGGTGCCACCATATACTGTATAAAAATGGGGACTAAGTGAGTGTGACATCACCCGTAGCGTTTGGCTGAACCCAAATGAAGCTCGTGATTGTAATGGTTTCAGGAGCAAATCTGGAACAGGTTCTATATTATGAATAGGATTTTTTTGATGGACAAAATTGCCAAAACAACAACATGTAGAGATCATGTAGAGACCAAAATGACGAGGTTCACAGCAGCAGTTACAGAAAAAGTGGCCACAAGATCACAATGTATGTCAAGGAGGGAGCCAGGGTCAGTTGTAGCTGGAAGAGCCCACATAAGAAAACTTCCTCTTTGGAATGCTGCGGATTGTGTGTTAGCTACGTACATTTATATATATTCTTTTTTTGTAATCAAAATAGGGTATTAAATGTGACACTCTTCTTGTACAGTAGTGGATGTAACTAATAATTTATCCAACAATTGTTCCATGTGAAACGAGATAGGCTCTATAAGCTTTTGCTTCTGCTTACATCTTTTGAGTATTGTATTTTCTCCTGTATGTGGATATTAAAACTAAATGTTCTCCTTGTGTTATGGTGTGTAACAATTTGCTGGAATACTTTGCTGCTGATAGCATCACACCCTAGGGAATGTACTGCACTGCTCTGTTAGAAGCTCTATTACTCAAGTTAGACTTAATCTGAGCTTTATTTTAACACAATCCAACAAGGAAGAGGTGACAAAATTACAAGAACTAAAAATAAAGACATGAGATAATGATCTGTGTTCTTTTTGTTAAAACATTTTTGTTAGATACATGTAGAACACCCACAGCGCGATGTCACTGTAAAGTATAAATACTAAAAAGTCTATGACGTATTGTGGAAAATGCTTAAAGTGCATACGACACTGTGGTTCTCATGTTTATCTGGTATGACTTGGTTTGCTGAGATAGTTTCTGTGGTAGATATTACTCATAGTTTATATCAGTTAAGAAACAGTTTGTGACAAAGTGGAAAAATATAAATTGAAAAATACAGAAGTGAGCTGAGTTTTAAAACAAAAAACAAAACTAAATGTATTTGACTTTACCCAGTTATTGACTAAACGTAATAATTCACTGTATTACAACATATTTTAGCATTTTAACAATATTCATTTGAACTACCACTATCTTTATGAATTAATATTTGAATGTTGTGATGTTGTGTGAAACCCAGCAATTACCAAAACACAAAATTTCTTCTAAAAATGAGGGACAATTTACACTCAACAAATACAATTTTCTATCTTTTTACCATTCATTTAAGTAACAAAGTAATAGAGTGGGTACATTTTAGTCATACTTTGTGAGTAGAAAACCTATAGACATGAGTGCTTGGGTGTAAACACAGATGAGATGAAATGTACAGTAAGCCGGTCTGTTCAGGGACTTTTCAAACTCAAGGCTGAATTCCAGATTTTACAAGTGACACTGCACGGAGTGAATTTCACACATCATCAATCAGAGTTAACCACATGCGACGCCAAGGACTTTAATCATCTGGCAAACACAAGCAGTATTTTTCATTTCAAAACTAGGGCTGCTCCGATACGATACTGGTAGGGACGGTACAAGATCTCATGCTACAAGATCTCGTGAGACAAAATTGCCACAATTATTGAGAAAAATGATCTTGTGATCTCGTGTTCGCATTTGGATTGGACAAAAAAGGTCATATGTTGGTGAGTTACAAAAAGCTGTATTAGAATGGACACAAAAATATTAAATCAAATAATAAAAAAAAGTGAGGTCAAAATGGAAATGAAATGGAAATTTATATATATATAGATTTATGGGAAAATCTTGTCATGTCTTGCTCTCACGGGCACAATCTTGTATTTCATCTCGCAGTAATGGTGTCCTGTCACATCCTTAGATACTGGTATCGGATATCAGCACCAATACTAAACATTTTGGTGGATCAGATATTGAGTAAACCAATATCCCATTTTGGTCTATAAACTGGTGTAATAAGGCCAATAATGGGCCAGAATGTCTCAATATTAAATTTGTATTTCTACAAATGCTGTTCCATAGTTACAAAATAACAATAGGCCTCATTCGTGATTTTTTTTGTCTTTAAAAATGTTTGTAACTTCCACTTTAAGATGATGCTGTAAGAATTCTGCACCAGATTCACAAAGAGTTCTTATGCAGCCGAATTCCGTCATAAGTGACAGTTGTGCCAAATTAACAAACACCAAAACCCAGATACAAACACCTTCACACTCATTTATATTTCACTTACATAGAAACTGAAATAGATTAGAAAAACACTTTAGTATTATGACGTGAGAAAGTGCGAGGGAGAGAATGACCAAGGAAGTGAGGTGGAGCATCTACAGACTACGACTGTTTTACAGCTTCAGCGGTGATTTCAAATGTCCAAACTCACATGAGTGGGGGTGCATAAGAGTGTGCTCTGGTCATGGGGGGGCCAGGGGGATGATGGAGGTGATGGAGGTGATGGAGGTGATGAGGGGGTAATGTCTGTGTCGAGTCCAGCGCGGTGACCAGGTGCAGGGCTGTAACAGTGTCCCATATGGAGGCACTGGGGCTGGGACAGACTGAGGCTCACTGCAGCCTGGAGAAAGTTTGTTAGACCCAATAGACACAGACTCTATAAAACAACTAGTAAATGTTATTGGATCACATAGTCATATGTTTATAGGAAATAATTTATGAAAATATATAACTTACAATCATAGAGGAATTTCATTTTTCTGCTGCATTATCAGAGTGATAATATTCTAAAACAGTGTTGTTCTTTATTCTTACGAGTGCTCCTGACTGTTCATAGGATTTTGTAAGAAGGCTTTGAGTACCAATCTGAAAAGAACGTTTCATGAATGAGGCCCAGTTTTATTATTATATTATGATATTTTATACGTTATGCCCTTTGTGGAAGTAAAAAATATGTTCAATCTTTGCCCTGATATTGGTTGAAATCCACACACTTCAAGACAAAGTATCGGTATCAGTATCAGAACAAAAAAACCTGGATTGGTGAATCTTAATCGTAACCAAGTTTAGATTTGGGAGGGTGGATTTAAAGCTGCACTACATCACTTTTCTGGTGGGGGGTCTGTCACCAGCTTGTCTCCACGGAGATTACTCAGACATACATGGATTCTGACTGCTATCGGGCTCACCTGTCCACAGATCTGACTTGTATCTTGGCCTGGTGTCATCACATCCAACATCTCCAAGCTTACAAATTGAATGCCGTACTGAGGAACATTTTCGACAAGGCAATAATATCCCCATGTACAAGAAGTTGCAGGCTCTCCACCAGAAAAGCTGCAAAGTGCAACTTTAAAAAAAGAATGTCATAAATTTGATGTGGTGGGAGAGTGAGCCTTCATAATAAAAGTCCAGTTGGCAGCGCCCTGGGTTTCAGAAATCAATGCAGTGAATCAATCAAGTGTGTTTAGCAGGTTTTACTGTGGACCCTTCTGCCACCATAACTTTTTAAAGACTGTTATTGAGGTTTTGACAGACTTTTTCCAGTAAAAGCTCCAGTAAAAACGCGCCTGAGATCTGAAATAATCATCGTAAAAAAGCGTTAACCTTGCTCCGTAGTCCCAGATGAACCCAGGTCACAGTGGGGGTGCTGTCGGCCATCTTGGCGGCCTCCTGAGCGTCGGGGCAGTCCAGGACCTCGCCATTCTGAAACGGGATCTCCTTGTGTGTCGCTGCCACGGCAACCGCAGGTGCACAGCTGTTGCGGTGGGCGACGTCTTCGGGCCGCAGCACAGTGAGACGCATCGCGATTTTACTGCAAGACGTCTTATTCCTGGAAACACAACAAAGGGTTTATTATAGAGAGTGACTGTGTATTTACTAACCCTTAAATATAATGTATTTACTGTCATAAAATAAAACCTAACACAAGCAGTATTTTTTATTTATCCAAACTAGGGCTGCACCGATACGATACCAGTAGGGACGGTATAAGATCTCGTGCCACAAGACTGAAAAATTATTAAGAAAAATGATGATCTTACGTATTCGCGTTTGGATTGGACAAAAAAGGGTTGCTTGTTGGTGAGTTACATCTTTTACAGTTGCAAAAAGCAATACTAGAATGGACACAAAATATTAAATCAAATAATAAAAAAAAAGTGAGGCCAAAATGGAAACTGAATCATGAGAGCTACTGTGTATTTACTAACCCTTAATATAATGTATTTACTGTAATAAAAGAAAATATAAAAAATAAACAAAATATAGAAATAAATAATTGTAAAAATAAATATATTTAAAATAATTAAATGTACAAATAAATAAAAGTAAAAAAATATAATAATAAATAATAAATGTATATAAGTATGTACAACCACACATATTTGAGCTTTTTAATTCCCCAGAATGTTTGAATTCATGTGCAAAAGCATTTGTTTATTTACATACATATACATACACTACCAGTCAAAAGTTTTAGAACACCCTAATTTTTCCAGTTATTTATTGCAATTCAAGTCATGCAAGTCCAATGAAAACTACCTCAGGAAATAAGAACAAGATGGTAAACTTGAAAACATGGAGTGTCCAGCAGCACAGTGTCCAGACTTAAACCCCATCGAGCTGATTTGGGATGAACTGAACAGAAGAGTGAAGCAACCTACAAGTGCCACACATTTATGGAAACTTCTGCAACAGACTTAGGAAGAACTTTCTGAAGAATATTTGATTTTTATTGTAAAAAGAATGAGCCATGAGTTTGTTCAGCTGTTATATCTGACAAAGGTGGACACTTTCATGAATTTAAAGTTTAGAGTATGTTTTGGTCAACAGTAAACTGTAAACCGTAGAAAACGGCAAAAAGTGTGGTGTTCTAAAACTTTTGATCGGTGGTGTATATATTTAATTGAATACTTTCCAACATGTATTCTTTTATTTATTTCTAATTATGTCATTTTCAGTCCTCCTTAAATAAACACTTTTTTTCTGTGATCTTTAATCAGAATAATAATAATTTTTAAAAAAGTATTTACACTACCAGTCACCTTCTCATTCAGTGTTTTTTCCTTCATGTTTACTACTTTCTACATTATTATATACATACAGGAGACAAATATCAAATATATGAAGTAAGATATATGGAATTAGGCAGTAAAGAAAGAAAAAGTTAAATAACTAACTAAATATTTGAGTGTCCAAATATTTTGTGTCCAAACTTTTGACTGATGTGTATGTCATTTTCCTTTTTGACTAATAATCATTAACTGGAGTTGCGTTTTGTTTCCTTCACACATTTACCTTTACACAAAACCTGCATATTTAGGCTGAGCTCTTCTCTCAAACAGAAAACACTCTGTACCACATAGTGATGTCGTGGTAATGCAGGAAGTGTGTGTTTTAAACCCCACACACCTTCACTAGAATTATTTGGATGATTTAAGACCTGGAATTGCCAATATCTACTGAACAAAAGATTAAAATAACTTGAAAAGTACAACTTCATGACATCACAAGGTGGAACGGAGCTTTATGAGCTTTGGAAATGTAGACAGATCAATAAACCAGGATTACTCAAGCATGTGTGAATGAAACAAAGCACAACTCCAGGTATATTTGTGAGGAGGTAACAACATTATAACACGGTATAAAGCTCACAAGAGTCTTTTTTTGTGTGTATGTGTGTGGAATTTAGGATCTTTAAAGCACCAACACATGATTTTGTCAATGCAACAAAGTGTGCAGACCTGCCTGTGCAAATGCCTCATAATAAGGTCATGAAACTGCTGACGGTGTTTTTTTTGTTTGGTTTGTTTTACCAGTATGACTCATAGATTGAGCTGGTGATTTACTGTATATCCACGTTTGATACTAGAAACATCGCAATCCGGCATGGCCGTCATGTTGCTATGGGAGATATGTGTGTGTTTTTGCATGTTTAGAACAGTCTGTAATGTGACTTTACCGTGAAAACTGTGATTCACGTCTGACCCTTTCGTGCATTTTCTATCAGGACAGTTCAAATTTATTTCATGTAACTGGTTTTGTAAGTTCTTATTAACAGTGATGGATCATAACAAAGTAAAAGTAGCAAAATACTGCACTTAAGTATACATTTTAGGTGTCTGAGCATGTGTGTGTACCTATGCGTGTACATGTGTGTGTGTATAAATATATATATGCATTTGTATACATATATGTTTGTGTCATGTGTAGATTTATGAAATGCATACAACAGGTAAGCACTCCAAAGGTGGAAAAAAGTGTCAACCATTTGATTATGTAAAACAATTGGAGTAGGTCAATATAAGATTTTTTTTTTTAACTTCATCCTACTCCTTTTAAGCACCAGGTTCCAAATATGTGTTGTTTTTTTTTGTTTGTTTGTTTGTTTTGTTTTTTAGGATTGTTGATTTAGTTTTACCTTGCTCAAATAAATAATAATAAAAATAATAATAATAGTAAAAAAACAAAAACAAAGATTTTACAGTTGGTGCTTTTTACTTTTACCTCACCACGTTTGAAATTTGAAAGTCTATATCTGTACTTTCTACTTAAGTACAATTTTGAACAGGACTGAAAAGTAAAAGTATTTTTCATTATATTTTGAGACCTGTTGTATAGGCTGCTGAGGACTTATTTTGAACATGTTTATATTTTCAATTAAAAATATATATATAAAAAAAAATCCTATTAATTCACTTCTTCATCAAAATAACTACATTTTAACTTTTATTAGATCTCAAAATCTGCATGAAATACTTCCACTTTTTATTCTTTCAGTATATTTTTAAACAGGTACTAGAGTAGATTTTTTTATGTGATACTTTGACTTTTACTTGAGTATTTCTTTACCTCAGTGTCTGTACTTTTACTTAAGAAACAAAACTGAGTAGTTCATCCACCACTTGTTATTCTTGTGTGTTGATGTTGTGACTGATCTGTGACTTATCTACAAAAAAAAAGTCCTTATCTCCAGTAAAGTCAATGAGATGAAACAAAGGTGAAATAAAACATGAGTGGGAGACCGCTAAACACGTGATCTATTTTTCTGGGACAAAACAGAAACAGGAAGTAGGCGGGACACGTGCCCACACAGGAAGCTCAGTGCGTTGGGCCAATCTGCATTTCTCCATCTCCGGTCTGGAGATGCACAAACTGACCCCATAAACTGTCTAAATATTTAGATCTAGACATTTTCACTTTTGAATTCACAAGACTTGAACTTCTCATGTTTACTACAGAAAGAACTCAGACACAATAACAAAATCTAAAAATTGTTTTAAAGGTGCATTGTTTAACTTTTCTGGTGTGAATCTGAGTGTCTGTTACCTCTTTGTTTCTATGGAGATGTCATTGTTCTGCCTGCAATGTTCCACAGTGTGACATTAAACAGTTCTACTTTACATTTATTCAATTACAGCTGCTTTTATAGCTCATAAATACCTAAAAAAAAAAAAAAAAACAACAAGCATTCTGACTGTGAGTGGGGTCATCTCTCCACAGATCTAAACTGTAACTTGGTCTGGTTTGATCTCCATAAAGATAGAAATGTTTAACCCCGGCTCAGAGCTCAGACTGCACATGATATAGCTCTAGAGGCTGTGAGTATTCTGTATCATTAAAAGTAGTGAAAGCTCTGGATAAGTTCTCTTGGATTCTCTTTTTGCCCAATGCCAGAGCGACCACAAGCCTTTTCCCAGAGTAAATGTGAAATAGTGATCGCGTAAACACATGGTCTATGAGTACAGTAGCCTTTAAAGGTGCTGACTGCAACAGCAAAGCTCCGGTCCTCGTAAGAGTGTCACAGCAATAAGACCAGTCCCAGGTAAAACCAGACTGTGAACCATCCCAGACAAAGCAATAACATCAAGCATTTGACAGACCCTCCACCAAAAAAGTTACACAATGCACCTTTAAAACTAAGATGTCCTTGGCCCACATAATCATCTCACATGATGCTCTCTAGTAAGAACACTTGTCTGTTTTAAATAGGTCAGGTCAGGTTAGGTTGCTTTCATCGTACCCGTAGGTATATTTGTTTATGAAGAAGCTGTTTCCTGAAGAATTTCTTCCTATAAGTCAAAACGCATTAGTGTCCCATTTTTTTCTATTAAAGAACTTTTCATTTTTAATCAGAGTTTATATAGAGCTTTTCTCTCAAGGTACAAAAAGCTCTTTACATCAAGGAACCACGAACCTATTTACTTACACACACTCATGTGTGAGTGAGTGTATTGCTCTAGGGCACAATGGCAGTATTCATCTGTGAGATCTGGAATTGCACTGCCAACATGTGGCTCAGTGGATTATGTTAATTTTTATGTGTTATGACAGTTGTTTTCAAACCTTTTAATATATGTTTTTATGATGCCATCTTGTATGTGTGTATGTGTGTGCATGTAAGTGTGTCTAGGTGTGTGTAGTTGTGTGTGTACATGCATGTGGGTGCGTGTGTGTGTGGAAACTTCCTCATACGACGTACAGTTTGATTATGATATATAACGGCATAATTCTACTTTCCACTGTGTTGTAATTTATTGATGAGCACCTAAGTGATCGTAATGAAGTGTTCAGTTTGGCTCTGGCTGGACTCTACCTCATAAAGAGGCTGTTTTAGTCATTACTTTCTGGTCCTACAGCGGCCCAGAGCACACACTTTAGCCCTGCTGGAGAAGAAACAAGTTGAAAATGTAGTGCACAAAAATTTTCTGAACACTTTAATGACTGTTCAAAAAAAGTTACGTTTTGTGTCTTAAAGATGTACGGTGTGTCTTTTAGTGAAGGGTCTATCACCTGCTCCTCTCCATGGAGACATTGCCTGGAAAGTTCAACAGTATGGCATTACACTTATTTATCTATACAGAGACAGCAGGTGATGACACGGGGCCTAGTAACATGTCAGATCTGTGGAGAGGAGAGCCCACTCACAGTAAGAATGCAAGTTTTTAGGTCAGTAATCATCATAATCATCTGCTGCAGCTCCAGGAAAGTGGTTCTGATATCTAGAATGGTGAGAAAAGATTTTAATTTGGAGTATTACCTAATTTTGTTATTATATTTTGTATATATTTTTTGTACAATTTAGAAAAAAAAAAAATCAAACTGCAAAAATCATATTGCAGTTACATTAGCGACATTATGTTTAAAGGTGTATTTTGTGACTTTGCTTTTCTCTATGGAGGTGTTATTACTTGGTCTGTATGGTATTAAACTTTCTATCGTCATGGAGACCAAACCTGACCAAGTTATAGGTCAGATCTGTGAAGAGGCGACCCCATTCATAGTCAGAATGCCTGTTTTGTTTAGGCATTTTTGAGCTATAAAACCACCTGTAAAAGAATAAATGTAAAGTAGATCTGTTTAATGTCATACTGCGGAACATTCCAGGCAGAGCAATGAGATATCCACAGAAACAAGCAGGTGATGGACCCCCCAACTAAAAAGTTCCACAGTGCACCTTAAAAAAGTAGTCTAAAATAAATAACTTCAGGAGCATTCGAGAGAAGACAGAAACTGATAAACAAATACAAAAATGAATTTCAGAACGTTTGTGGAAATCTAAACTAATCTAAAGTTTTTTCCATAAAAATAAAATATATATGGTTCTTTTCAGACATTCTATTATCTAAGTAATTGCAGCCTTTTAATTCAATTGTGATATACGGTGCCCTAGAGTACAGTCTGGTCCCTTCACAGCACACAGCCCTGTGTTGTTGGTGGCGGTCCAGTAAACACCACATCTCAGAGAGGATCTGCAGCAGCACAGTGGCAGCAGCAGGTCTTTAGAGCCACTCAGAGCCACTTACACTGATTAATGCACAAAGAAGCATCGAACCGAGGCAAACTGGGTGATGCTATCTACCCATACTGTCCTGGGTTAAAACCACTCCTGTATTTCCAGTAACCATCTGAGTAAACTACACAGCACAATGAAGGAATTAAAGTGCTAGACTGGTAACTTGTGCGAGACTGATTTTGCCAATGTGGAATGAACTAAGAATTATCACAGTAACAAAGTTGGAAGTGTATATTGCTACAGAAAAACATCCCTATAGGAGATAGAATTGAAACTTAGTCCAATAAGGTTCATCTGGTCTTCTGATTTATGTTATTAGGTTCTTTTTTCAGACCAAGAGTTTGTTTTTATACATGACAGTTTGTTCTGCTCACTAGTGCTCTTTCTCAGAGTGTCACGAGATGTTGCTGCGATGTGGCCGGTCAATTGATTTAAACAGGTTTTGGTGTTGTCTTCTTGTTGAAGGAGGCAGGACGACAGCGCCATCTGCAGTCCCACTTCCTCAAGACAGTATCCCAGGTGTGTGAGAGTAAAATGTGCCCTCGTCCCAGTTTATAGTCCCGTGGGCACGTTTCCGTATTTCGATTGCCTCTTTGATCCAGCAATGATATTTGTTTTTCTCTGTCCCAATGATGTTTGCTCTGTCCCAGTCCATAATGTGGTTCTCTCTTTTACAATGGTCAGAAATGGCCGATTTAAGTTGTTCCTGTTCTGCTTTGCGTTTTGTGGCAGGATGACAGATGGCGCTGTCATTCTGCCTCCATCGGTAGGAAGACAGTGCTAAAACCTGTATAAATCAGCTGACATGTCACGGCAACATCACGTGAACACTTTGAGGAAGACTCTAGTGAGCAGTCCAAACAGTCAGGTATGAAAACAAACTCTTGTCTTGGTCTGAAAAAATAACCTAATAACATAGAATTGAAACTTGTTTTTGCTTCCTAAGTAGGCTACAAAATGATCTGAACAATTTGTATTCACACTAATTATTTCTTGGCTCATTTTGTCCAAGAGTGAAGTGAAGGAGTAACAACATACACCTCTCTCTGATTCTGTCTGATAGTGCGACTTTTATAATACAATTGTTTATGCATTTACAAAAAAAAAATATATAGTTTTTTACCAAATAACATCAGAATGCTGCAGCTCCTCTGCTGACAAATACTAGGAGATGTGAACACATTACACCTGTGCTGTGCTCCCTGTCTTAAATAGGGTGCAATTTAAAATGTTATTAATTGTTTTCAAATGTTTGCACTCTGCGCGTCCAGTCTTTTTGAGGGAGTTACTGCAGCCCTATACTCCTTCCAGAGCCCTGAGATCACTCCTGTTGGTCGTGCCCAAAACTAGGCTCACAACAAGGTGACAGAGCTTTTTCTTTGCCAGCGCCCAGACTGTGGAACAACTTTTCCTGTCAGATCCTCTCAGTCTGTAACGCAGTTTCAGACTAGACTGAAAACTCAACTCTTCTCCCTGGTGTTTAGTACGAGCTAGACAGGTTATCTTGGTGTTTTTATTGTAGTTTTCACATGTTATCTGTATATATGTGTATGTAATTTTTTCTTCTGTTTTTGTTGACTTGTATGTGAAGCACTTTGGTCAGCTGAAGTTGTTTAAATGTGCTATATAAACAAACTTGAATTTAATTGAATTTAAACAACAGGGCATCAGCACAGATAAGCAGACCAGGACAGTACCAGGACAGTCATGGTCACACTGGTTCTATCGAAACGGTTTTCCATGAATTGATATTTTGCAGCTGAAACAAGTTTGCCGACTTCCATGTTAAAAAACATTGGCCATCACAACATTTTTTCATTGGTACCAAAATAACTAGGCAGTTGTACCAAAATGTTTATACTTCTGTGTTAGTGTGTGTATAATGTCCCCATGGTAACAGCTGAACATTTCATCAATATAGATACATGCAGAACACAGTGATGTCACTGCAAAGTATCTGTAATACTGATCATTTGGGCAACTATTGCATATTTCCTTTCATTAGCAACTACAGCCAATATAGCAGCAGATGACAAAAAATCTATAAATTGTGACAATAATTGTATTACATTCATATCTACATTTATTCACTTTTTTTGGTGGAGTGTCCGTCAAATACTTTACTCCTTGGAGATGTTATTGTTTTGTCTGGAATGTTCCACAGTATGGTATTAAACCTTTCTATCTCCATGGAGACCAAATCAGACCAAGTTACAGGTCAGATATGTGGAGAGGAGACTCTGCTTTCAGTCAGAATGCCTGTTTTTCAAGGTATTTTTGAGCTGTAATTTAATAAATGTATAAGATAAATGCATGGTAGAGCTATTTAATGTCATACTGTGGAACATTCTAGGCAGAGCAATGACATATTCATAGAAAACAAGCAGGAGACAGACCCCAGACCAAAAAGTTCCAAGATGCACCTTTAATGAACAGACTAATCCTGACGTCAGTAATGATAAACTGTACTTCATTTGTGTTTGTGTACTTGTGTACTGTAGTATACCGTATCATGCAGATGTACTGTCCAGTGTCATTCGCATTAGCCGGCTGTAGCCACAGGCGCTCTCTGTCTTTGCTGAGTCTGGCGCTGAAACACACAAAACCACAGATCAGTGAGAAAAGAGAAAAAGGAAAAAAGGAAAAAAACAAAACAAAACACCTGTCTGACCAGCTATTCCCCTCTACATTCTGACTGAATCCAGAAGGGACTGGAACCGGACCATCCAACCACAGCCGCTCATTTGTAGCATGTGTCTATCAAATATGCAAGACATCTCTGGAAAATTCTCATAACGTTCTTTTACCTGAAATAAGTAATAGTTTGTGATTTGATTGTTGATTCTTTTTGTCAGTCTTTATGTAGATTTTTGTCCCTTTTGTAAGCAGCCATATTTGTTTTTGACACAAACAGACCATGTATCTCTCTGATTGGTTAATTGGCCTGTCAATCACACACTCTGAAATCATGGAAATAGGAATAGGCTCAAGCTGGCATCACAAACCAGGAAGACATTTGGAAAGATAGAATGACAACTTCCGGTGGGCTCTGTTTGCGGTGGTAAGTCTGACAAAATCTAGGAAAAATGAGAAAATGTCCCAGTTTTCTTGTTGTTGTTCCATGTTATTGTACTGTTCCGTTGCGTTTGGTTGATCAACAATTCCAACCATACCTCAGTTTTCATCATTTCCCTACTGACACACAACGCTGAGTGCACTGGGTACATGCCTTAGAAGAGATGAGGTGCCAAATTCAAGATGAGTCCAAGCACTAGTCTTCATTTTACCGCTGATCACATTTACTTCAGTGGGTTTGATCACAGTTGGTCAGCGAGTCCAGTGTTTGGAACTACACTGGAAGTTGTCATGACATGTTTCTAAACATCTTCCTGGTTTGTGACGTAAACGTGAATAGAACCTGTTGGCATGGGGCGATATTGAAATTTGGTGTTATGATTATCACGGCCAAAATAATTGCGATTAACTACATCATGATATTTATTAAAGTTGCTGGCAGTTTAAAAATGTTATGGATACAAATAGTTACAATTTTAATGTTATGAATAAGTTCCATGTTTAAACAATTTCTTTATAACTGTACTTTGTTATTAGAGAAAGCAACTATGATCTAGCAGACATCATGATGGATCAGTAGCTTTTTTTCTACACATTTTGGTGACACAACATTGATTATCTTTGTTGGCGATTATCACAATTACTGTATTTTTTGGGCTATAAGTGGCCCTTTTTTCATGGTTTCGGTGTTTCCTGCGACTTATACTCAAGTGCGACTTATATATTAAAATGTTCACACTGACAGCCATGAGAGGCACTAGACTTGTGTGCCAGTATCTACTATTCCTATTACTCCTGTACCGCTGTCACTTGGCTCTACTGCACACGTCTCCTGCAGAAAGAGCCTCTGTCCTCTCTGTATCATGTCAGGTCGATCACATTTTACTTCTACAGTACTAAAAAAAAAAAAAACATTTTGCATTTTTTACAAGCTGCAAGTAGCAAAATATGCAGCCGAAAAGGGTAATCGAGCAGCAGAAAGAAAGTTTGAAGTGAGCGAGAAACGTGACACCGGGAGGATGCACAATGCAACTTTCCTGGAAGTGGATGGACAAAGCCTGGACTTCAGTGACACCGAAACCATCCTGTCAGGATTCAGAAAGACCGAAATGATTCTAACTGGAACTGATGCTGTATCTGATAACAGATATTCAGAAGAGGAAGTAGCACTCCGTTTACCTCCGGAGTTGCTCAGAAGTGACACCGAGGATGAAGAATTGAATGGATTAAGTGATTTGGAGTGAGATGGAGAGTTTGGTAAACTTGTTCCGTTCTGTTGTTGATGTTATAGTTATCTGAAGAACTGTTCATATGTGATGTTAACAGTCTGTTGTTCTCTGTTCTATTGTTATTACTAGAACTTGAATTTCAAGAGGAAATGTTGGTTCCTGGTCTCTGATTTTATAAAATAAATTTCCCCCAAAAAGTGCAACTTATAATCCGATGTAACTTATATATGTTTTTTCTTCTTCATTATGCAGTTTTAGGCTGGTGTGACTTATACTCCGAAGCGACTTCTAGTCTGAAAAGTATGGTATATAAAATGTCCCATGACTGATTATTGTCTACCCTTTTTATCATAATAAACAATATTACTGTTTATTTTTCCATCCTTAGAAAGGATAGAGCTCCAGATCTGGTCTTCGTAAAGTTTTGTCAGAGTGCGTGGTTCTGGCTGGTCAAGTAAGCAAACACAGGTGAAATGTGGGTCAGCCCATTAGAAGCCCGTACAAACTTAGAGACTGACGCTAATCGAGGCGCTGTAGTGGAAATCATTACACAACGCTCCATCTGTTTTGCTTCAACCACTTCACTTTACATCCACAGGGAATTTATAGACCAGCCCCACAAACTTCAAGATGCATCTCTAACCTTCCTGCCAACATTTTACTTACTTATCCAGCCAGAACCACACGCTTTGAAAAAACTTTCCTGCATAAGAATGATTTAGTTTTGATAGTGCTCATAAACTGTATAAGAAAGTGGACTAAGGGAGTGTGACGTTGCCCATAGCATTTGGATTCAGTCAAATGAAGCTCATGAGGATAGCAGTTTGGAGCAGCATTTCATATAAGGAAGAGGAATTTATTTAAGGACAAAATAGCAAAATGAAAACACTAGGATCATGTACAGCGGGTTACTAAGAACATTTTAAGACCAAAATAACGAGGCTCACAGCAGAAATTACAAAGTGAATTGCAGGTGGATTGAATGGAGCCAGAAGTGCCCCATCCTCACTTCCTGCCCCATGCTCGCTTCCTATATGGAACGTGGTGGCTCGCAGGTTAGATATGTCCATTTAAAGTATATGCTATGTTGTGTGTTGTGTAACTTTTCTGGCAGCGGGCATGCCAGTTACTTGTCTCCATGGAGATGTTATTGCTTTACCTCCAATATTCCAAAGTATGGTATTAAACATATTACTGTATTCTTGGACTATAAAGTGCGCCAGATTATAAGGTGCAATAATGTTGAATTTTCTCATCTATTTTCATACATAAGGTGCACTGGATTATAAGGTGCATTAAGCGAAACAAACGGACAACACTTGAGACTGATCCTTAATCCAGACATCCACGATCAATTGGCTGGTCTTGGCATAATTCGCCTGGCGTTGCCTCCCTGTCTTGGTGAATGTGTATTATGAATGTGAATGTGGGTGGATCATTTCTTAATTTTTTTATTTTTTTCCCACAATGACGACTCAAATATACATTGAGTCATAATGTGTTTAATGCAGCTTTGCGTACATTTGTTTACGTTTTACAGAAATGAAACTTAAAAGTACATGGCTAATGTGCACAAACTATAAGCGCTCCTAGTGCCCTGATGCAGTCAGCTTCTGTCGGATTTACTTACTACTCGAGGCTCCTGACTATGGTAGCTGTAATGCTCCGACAATCCATCAAGCGGCGCGGCTTCATAGTTTACCAAAGTTGTACCAAAACATTTTTAACAGATTTTTGAGCGCTGTGTACCATATAAAATTGGTTCAAGGTCAGTAAACACAACCAGATTTAATACATAAGGATGATTTTTGAAAAAATTTAAGTGTGCCTTATAGTCCGAAAAATATGGTAATGTCCATACAAACATGTCTGAGATGCAACCAGGCCATTTTACAGTTGAGATCTGTGAAGAGCCGATCCCACTCACAGTCAGAATGCATTTATGTATTTATTTATTTTTAATTTGAGCTATAAAAACACCCATAATTTAATTAATGCATCTTATATACATTTAACACCATGCCGTGGAACATTACAGGCAAAGCAATAGCATCTCCATGGCAGTGAACCCCCAACCTGAAAAGTTAAAGGTGCGCTGTGTAACTTTTCTGGTGGAGAGTCCGTCACCTGCTTGTTTCTATGTTTCTACATCATTGCTCTGCTTGGAATGTTCCACAGTATATATTAAACAGCTCTACCTTACATTTATTCAATTACAGTTGGTTTTATAGCTCAAAATACCAAGAAAAATAAACATTCTGACTGTAAATGGGGTCGCGTCTCCACAGATCTGACCTCTAACTTGGTCCTGTTTGGTCTCCATGAAGATAGAAAGGTTTAATACCATAGTGTGAAACATTCCAAACAAAGTAATAACATATCCATGGAGAAAAGCATTTGATGAACCCTCCACCAGAAAAGTGACACAGTTCACCTTAAACATGTCCTCGTACCTGTTGGTGATGGGCTGCTCCAGGTCGTGGCCCTCGAGGACCCTGTACCAGAAGAGGTTGTGTCCGGTGCTCTGGGTGGAGGAGTAGTTGTAGACAGACGGGTGAGAGAAGAGTGGACAGGACAGGAAGCCAGACTGTCCCACCAAAACGTGCACCGCAGCCTCACTGGACTCCCCCCAGTCATAACACATGGGCTCTGACAGGACACAGAAGAAGAGTCATTTTAAAAAGAGACAGATATACTTTTTTACCCATTCAAAGCTGTATTTAGAGTGATTCAAGCATGTTTTAGTGGTGTTTTCAACCCGGACTTTATACAAATACAAGGCATAGCACTGCAGCATAACATTCTTTTCCATTTTAAGACGAATAGTGACCAAACCTCGTCAGATCTCTGAAGCTAAGCAGGGTGAGGGCTTGGACAGACCGCTGGGAATACCAGGGTCCACAGTGGGGCACCAGTGGCAAATAAGGATGTAAGAATAACTGAAATATTGTGATAATGTATCGTCAAAAGTTTCTCAATAATATCATGGACCATCACAATATATCAAATCTTAAATCTCTTTGGTAACGTGTTAGTCAAGACTGCAGTAACTGAGACCAAGACGTCTGATGGTCGAGACAAAGACAAGACCAACACTTTTAAAGGCCGAGACCGAGACAAGACCGAGACCACGGCCCATCGAGACCAAATCGAGACCATCTTTGTAATTTTTGACATTTATTTGTATTTTAAAGTGATTTTGGCACATATATCAAAGTTTTTATAAATCTATCTCCATTTTATCACTTGGCGAGTGTCAGATCTTGAGACCAAGACAAGACCGAGTCCAAACACGGTCGAGTCCGAGAAGAGACCAAGACCCCAAAAAAACGAGTCTCGAGTCTGGAGTACTACAACACTACACTACTAATGGTTAAAGTCATTGTTATGGTGCAGCAATAGCTAAAAGAAACATAGGGAACTACATAGAAGGGATGTAACAATAACCGAAATATCGTGATATTGTATTGTCAAAGTTGTCACAATAATATCACGGATCATCACAATATATCGAATTACAAGTCTCTTTGCTTAAATTAAGAATTATGGTGCAGCAACAGACAAAAGCAGCAAAAAGACAGAGGGAACTACATAGATCATGATCCTCCATTTCAATGCAGACTACATGAAGAAATAACAATTCTCAGCACTTTTAAGTCTTAGTTCTTAGTATTAAGTCTTGTCAAGGCATTTTAAGAGGAAAAAGTTGCATATTAACAGTTTTAGCTGTTTAGCCTCCACAAAATATCACAATAAATATCATATTGTGAGATGTATATGTGAAAATATCGTACCGAGAGATTTGGATATTGTTACATTCCTAATTGTGAGACTCCCCACCATATCGTGAGCTTTCCCACGATATCTGCGAGGTTCATATCGTGACAATATTGTATCGTGAGACTTGATTATCGTCACAAGACTACTACATAGACCATGATCCTTTGCTCTGCTTCAATCCAATTTACATGATGAGATAACTTATTAAGCACTTTTAAATCTTAGCTCTTTGGTTTATGACAGAACCAAAGTCTTGCCAAGGAAAAAGTCATATATTCATAGTTTTGTTAGCCTCGACAAAATACTGCAATAAATATCGTACCGTGAGATCGAAATTTGTACATCCGAATTTCATTACATCCCTAGTGGTAAAAAGTGTTATTGTGTTCTCAGGCTAGACAGTTTACCCACCTTGCCTAGTATAAAAGTGGTGTGAGCGGTTGAAGGGGCTGATGGCACAGATTGGAAGCCTTGTCTGTCTGCCAGGGCAGCTGTGGCTACATTATCTTACCATCACCGAGTGTGGAGTGAATTAATGATACACGAAACTGGAAAGCGACTTTGAGCGTCTGGAAAAGTATAAGACTAATGCACTAAATAGATTCTTTTCCATTTCGAGACTATTCAGATCTGCAATACTAATGTACTATAGGCCTACAGTATTAAGAGCGTTAGTCTCACATTTACAAAGACACTGAAGGAGGCTCATATTAGGAGGGCAGTGCAGCAGTGGCCTGTATAAAAGCACATCTCCACCTCTGTCCTTGGTCCCGAGCCAAACTGCAGTGTTTAATGTTTTTATGGCAGAAAGATTCAAAGCGCAGTGCACCCCCATACCGGGCTCATTAAAGACACTGCCATTACACTCACTCATTTCAACATTAAAAGTACACTGTGCAACTTTTCGATTCAGGTCCATCACCTGCTTGTTTCTATGGATTTGTCATTGCTCTGCCTGGAATGTTCCACAGTGTGACATTAAACAGCTAAACTCCATCTTACATTTATCTTGCTTTTATTAAATTACAGTTCAAAAATACCAAGAAAAACAAACATTCTGACTGTGAGCAGGGTCGCCTCTCCACAGATCTGACGTGTGATTTGGTCTGATTTGGTCTCCATGACGATAGAGAGGTTTAATACCATACTGTGAAACATTTAAGACAAAGCAATAACACTGAAGCTGTAATCATACAAGCTACAAAACTTAAGAACATTCTGGGTAAAAGCAGTATATCTCCATGGAGACAAGCACAACTTAAGTATAGGGACAAGCAGGTTTAGTTTAGTCTTTACAGAGGTTTAATGCAATACTGTGGAACATTTAAATATGTGTATCCATTTAGATTGACTAAATTGAATGGCGTGCTGTGGAATATTCCAGTCAAAGCAATAACATCTCAAGCAGGCTAACCCACCAGAGCAGCTTTAAAGGTCCTGTATTGCACAATTGACTCTTGTGAGCTTTAAGCATGTTATAATGTTGTTACCTCCTGAGAACAGACCTGGAGCTGTGTTTTGTTTTGTGTGAATGAAACAAAACACAACTCCAGGTCTGTTTTTGATGAGGAAATTACACATTAAAAACTGGAGGGTTAAATTTCAGGGTAAAATAGTTGTTTTTAACCAGGGGTGTGGTGGGTGTGGTACGCGGGGGTACACTGTCCACCCACTTCTCCCGACGTGACATATAAAAAAATAATAAATATAAAATAGTTAAATGTCAAACCAGAGCTACTGGCAATGATGAAAAAAATCTGCATAGGCGCATCTGCAGTACTGTCCTATAGAGACCCGAGACATGAGGGACCAGGACTTAACCAGGACTGATCCAGGCCTGAACCAGGACTGAACCAGGTCTAAACCAGGACTGAACCAGGACTGAACCAGGACTGAACCAGGACTGAACCAGGTCTAAAATAGGATTGAAACAGGAGAACTAAGACTTAATCAGGTCTAAACCAGGACTGAAACAGAACTAAAACAGGACTAAAACAGAACTGAACCAGGACTGAACCAGGAATGAGCGTCGGGACTGGCCCGGAGGTGCTCCTGCGTAGACTGTCAGGTGACCACAGGAGAAAGGACTGGCACAGAGCTCCGTGCCCCACATCGCTAAGCACAGCCACCACCTGATTGTGCTTTGGGGACACCCTGCTCCATGGGCTCGGGGTCCCGTCTCTCTCTCTCAAGTCCAAGATTAATCCTAGGTCTAGTCCTGGTTTAGATCTGGTTTAGACCTGGTTTAGACCTGGTTTAATCCTGGTTTAGTCCTGGTTCATGTGTTGCAGCCTGTGATTTCTGTTCTCTAGGTGATGAAGTAGGTATGAGCCGCATTAATGTTAATAATATGATTCCGCATCATTTTGAGTAAAAAAACATAAAATATTACAGATTTTTACTTGGCTGGCGCCTTTGTGTGTGTGTGTGTATGTGTGTGTGTGTGTGTGTGTGTGTGTGTGTGTGTGTGTGTGTGTGGCAAGGGGGAATTCAGCTTCCCTTAGTGTTACTTTGGCACCCACCACTACAAATCTCCAAGAGAAAACCAGTTTGAACCAGCTGTGTAGGTAATTTCATCTTAAATTAACTAAAATAAAGTGTAAAAATAAAACATCTGTTTACTCTCAAAATGTTAATATAATTTGATTTTGGGATTAAACAGGAATGGTCCAGGGTTATTTAATTAACATTTCCAAAAAAATGTTAAATCAACTCTAGAACAGACTGGTCTCATATAAAATTGATTCTGTGAGAGTCCATTTTAACACTCCACTTTTTGCTGTGTACGTTATAACATAGATCAGACAATTGCCTAATATGGGACAAAAGCTTGATTATAGCTGTTGATATTGAGTGACACTATCTGCTAATCGACGTTGTACCTCCTTAAACTCTCGGATGGGGGTTGTGTCCGGACTTAATAATTCTCCAATAAATATTAATTAAATTTGTCGTTGCCGTGGTGCCAGGAGGAGCGCAGGATCCGTCAGCTGGGTCGATGTTTTAATGGATGGAGCTCGTTAAGAAGGGCAGAAGATGATGAGTGGACGCTATGTGATGATCCTGCTAACGACCCAGAGTATCTGAGGCTGGAGGGCGGCTGGGTGCTGACGGCCGACAGGAAATGATCTGAGCAGCGTTACCCCGGGCAACAGGGATAAATGTAAGAGTCCAATGGGCGCGCGTTTAAAGGTGCACTGTGTAGCTTTTCTGGTGGAAGGTCCGACAAGTTATTTTCACCATGGGGATGTTATGGTTTTGTTTGGAATGTTACCCAGTATGGTATTAAACTTTCTATCGTCATGGAGACCAAACCAGACCAAGTTATAAGTCAGATCTGTGGAGAAGTGATCCACTCACAGTCAGAATGCCTGTTTTTGTAAGGATTTTTGAGCTATAAAATGACCAGTAAATGAATAAATGTAAAGTAGAGATGTTTAAAGTCATACCGTGGAACATTCCGGACAGAGCAATGACATATCCATAGAAACAAGCAGGTGATAGACTCCCAACAAAAAAGTGACACAGTGCACCTTTATGGAACGTAATTAGCCAAGAAGGTTAAGGTTTTTAAGACATAATGTGTGCATTGTGTCACCATGGTAACTACTGAACATTCCACCATAGAGATGCATGTAGAACATCCCCAACATCTGTGAAATCACTACAAAGTATCAATTCTGCACCGGTATTTTTATTATTTTACTTTTTTTTGTAAACCATCAATTAAGATATTGTTTTAGTTTTAATGAATAAAATCATAAATTGTCTTGCATTTACAAAGGACATTAAAGATTGAGAGATAATTTATTCCATATTTACAAAACTCTATCAGAAATGGGTTAAATATGATGTGTGAAAAGCTCAGT